CTTTGATAATTACACAGATGCAAAAAAGTGAGTAAGAGGGATTTGTTAACACATATAAAACCACATATGAAATTAAAAACATATAATACATTTGATGGGTTCTCTTTCTGGGCTTGTATGGATAACTAGATGGCTAGAAATATATCAAATAATTGGAAAAGTTAACAAAAAGAGTATTTTAATTTATAATTTTCAAAAAGCTTAGAAAACCCTATGCCACACATCAAACAACAAATATGTTCTCATAAACAATTCATTTTGATTATTTAAAAATTTAAAACTTTTTATTAAAGTATCCCTTACGAAACCTGTTGACACCCTAACTTTCGCCGACCTAGCCAAGTTCGGTCAGTAGTCTATAAGGAACCCACTCACCGATGGCCTCGTGGGTGTTGGCAAAGTTCTCCCACCAGCGAAACGAGACGAGAAGCAGCGGGATGGCCAGAAGCTGGACCTCCAGGCTGTCGCTCAGCGAGGGCCAGATCACGAAGACGCTGCCCTGCGCAATCAGGGCCAGGATTGAGAGCCCTAGGACCAGGCCGTCCGCCGACCTCCAGTGCACCCGCGTGCCCGTCAGCAAATCTGAAACGTTGAGCAGGGGCAGGCAATCAATTTAATTGTTGTCAGTCGGTGCCTAGTCACCGATAACAGGCGGGGGTCTTAAAGCGGGAGTCGAGTTGTCGGGTTACTCACTCAGCAGGGCGGGCACAAAGCAGACGCAGCAGCCCAGAATGGCACCGCGAGTCGCATCCAGGGCCGGGAGCACGGTGAAGGTGAGTAGGGCCAGCCCAACGACGTGCAGCAGTTCAAAGAGCGTGACCTGATTAGCGAGGACTTATCAATCAATCTCCGCCTTGGCTAGGGTGGCTCGATTTGTGGGACACGAACTCAATATATGGGGTTACCGTAGCTTCTGATTTAAGTCTTAGGCTAAAGCTTCCGAAAAAACATTCTTTAAATTCTAAAGTCGATCCAAAGAAAGTTTACTTTGAAAAAACATTTGCTAATTAATATAAGTTATTAAAATTTAAATCAGAATTACATGAAAACAAGCCCGCTTTGCCTTTTAATATTACTCAGATTTAAACATTAAATTTAATTAAAATATAAAAAGTTGAATTATAAAAGATATTGGTTTTTTCCCGTTAAGTCACAAATTAATAGTTTATACTGTCTAAACCTATGGAAAATAAATCACCAAAATCACTTAAGTATGTTTAAAGAGTAAATATTTATAATTAATTAATTAAGAGTAAATAAATATATTAATTGAATAAGTCTGATATTATTGAGCTAATCGTGGCACCCACAAATCGTGCATAGGGTAATACCCACCAGGCCAACTTCCAGTCCGCTGGGTCGCTGCTCGCGCTTGAACATACTAATGCGGAGGGCGCGCAGAAATGTGAGCAGTTCGGGGGCGGCGAAGGCGAAGATCAGGGCCCAGACCCAGGCGATTTGATCTAGCTCATTGGGCACCGCCTCCACCTGACCGTGTCGGAGCACTTCGGATGGGGGAAGACCAACATGAATATGGCTAATCCAACAAGGTGTTGACACTCACTTACGATACTTGCTGCACACTTGCACCCGTGGACCGCTGCCACCTGTGTTTCCGGCCATGTAGAGATAAAGCAGCTTGGCAAACACGCTCGAGGCAAGAACAACCGCAAAGACGAGGAGGTAGACGAAGAGCTTAAAGAGTTTGAGGAAGAACTGAAGCTTCTTCCAGTCGACGTCGGAGCCGCTCGTCTTCTTCGACGGCGGGTCCTGGAAGGAGTCCCACAGCGGCGGCTTGTCGCGAAGCTTCCTGGAAGCAGTCGGAAGTACTGATTACCGGTGACATCACACCTTGGTTTGCACCGGACCCACCGACTGCGCATATAGTAGTCCCCGCTCTCGTAGTCTCCTCCGCTCATGTCTATCAGGGCCCGTCGGCAATCGAAAACTGACTGGCACTCGGCAATTGGCAATTGGCACCCCGGACATGGCCAACCGATCGACACATCGGGAGATCGAGAGATAAGGTTCTTCGAGGCGATATCATCGATGCAATGCTCATAAGTTGACAGAGAGTCAACAACTCGTCCAGCCCCGATAAGAAACTATCCGAAACGAAAGACCCCTTGACTATAATGGCAATTACAAATGCCATCAAATCAAATCTAGTCACAGCAGCGATTTCCATTCATAAAATTACTTATTGCGCGTCGTAAGGCAGTAGAAGCCCTATAGGCTTCCAATAGTTTCCCTTTTTATTATTTTTGCCCCCATACGTACGGGTATAGTTGTTCAGCTTGTTGTCCGACATGGGACCTGCATGCACTCCAAAGTTGTAGCTCGACTTCTTTACACAAGTTTCGAGTATCGCCGATAGCAGAGGGTTACACCCCCAAGGGGAAGCCACTCCAGGTAATGCGAGTCAATGCAAAAGTTGTTTTGATCTTTTGATTGGTCTACTTTACTGCTCAATGAAATAAATTGAACATTTTAAATATGCATTATTTTTATTTATTGGGTGAGGTGAGGTAACACGAAAGTAGCCATGAAAGAGCATGTAAAATGTAATAGAAAGCGTTCCCGACCCTTTAAAGTATATATTTCAGGAGCCGAAAACATTATAAATTATACTACTACGACTAAGAGGTAATGATTATATTAAAGTTAAGATAATCATTGCTTTTATAACCAAAAACTTATCTACTTAATATAACAAAAAAATTCAAAAATAATGTGTATTGGTTTCGCCTACTAAACATGTTCCGAAAAACCATTTGAAAATTATTTTAAAACAAGAAAGGAAAGCTAACTTTGGGCGGAGCCGAAGTTGATATACCCTTGTAGAATATTCTGTAAATTATATTCTCCAAAATTATTCATATGATGCATTCATAAAAAATCCCAACTTCCTAACTTTACAAACTCCAAAGTTATAGCATTTCCGATCGTTCAGTTATATGGCAGCTATAGGATATAGACGGCCGATCCCGTTCCGACTTATATTCTGCGTGCAAAGGAACAAAGGGTGTGTGCAAAGTTTCAATTTGATATCTTCAAAACTGAGAGACTAGTTTGCGTAGAAACAGACAGACGGACAGACGGACAGACGGACATGGCTATATCAACTCAGGAGGTGATCCTGATCAAGAATATATATACTTTATAGTGTCGGTGATGTCTTCTTCACTGCGTTGCACACCAAAATTATAATACCCTATGCAAGGGTATAATTAAATCGGAAAACAGTATCATATAGCTGACATAAAAACGATGGCAAAATGCAGCGCAAAATCGTCATAACTTCATTGTTTTTAGTAATATAGGCTTAGAAATCGAAATGTCGATTTGTTATAACTGAAAGGGTATATTCCTTCCTTTGTTGTTGTAATAGTTTTTGTATAATTGGAATCATAAATAATATTTAAAGCTAGATTTTCGTAAGCAGTGCGTCCAACTGCAACGAAAATTAACAAAATTCGCTTCTTAAGTAAATTTTTTATTTTTTATATTGTAAATTTAAAAATGATGGTGGAAACGCTTTTTCTAAGGGTCTTTATTGCTGGATACATTTTGTATTTTGCCTAAAATAACTAAAAATGTGGATTAAGTGTGCGATAGAATGCCCACGCAAATTTATCCAAGTATTTTCACCAAAAAAAAATCAAGAAATTCTTTTGAAATTGTTGGTCTCAACAAGTTTGTAATGTAAATATATATATCGGAAAGGTTTTAAAACATAACCGGAAACAAAAATTATTTGTCGCTCCTCAAAGTATGTTAAAAATTAAAAAAGTTAACGCTGCCTATCGTTTGGTAGCGCCACTGTGCGGGCGAAAAATATAATGTAGAAAACGGAGTATATTTACATGTTGTCTACACCTGATTTTAAAAGTTTTTTGTGTATACAATTAAAAAAAAGAGAGACCTAAAAACAGGGACCCGACTATCAGATACTACATTATACAATTAAAGGTAGAATGCAAATCGACTGGAGATAGAAACTTTTTATACCCGTTACTTTTTAAGAAGGTCCGATTTGAAAAATTGTCTTCGTGCATTTCGATAGGTATTGATAAACAGCAATAAAACTGCATTTTTGACCCTATCCGAAAGTATTTAAATTTTTGAAATCGTATATAAGCCGATTGTGGGCGTTAAAGGGCGTGGCACCATTTTGAAACAAACTGTCTGTCCGTAGGAACTACTAAAAGCTAGAAGAAATGGCAATCTTCTAGCATTTAGAGTTTCTAGGAGTTCCCAGCGTTCAGACGGACAGATTGACAAACAGACGACAGACAGACGGCCATTAACGGACCGACGACAATCGCTTAGTATACGATTTTAAAAATTTAAATATTTCGTTAAAGGTAAAAACGCATTGTTCTTGCTGTTTATCAATACTTATGCGAAATGTAGAAGAAATTTTTCAAATTGTACCATTCGTTAAAAAGGTATAAAAATGCGTGATCAAAAAAAGTTGTATCACCAATACTACATTATACAATTAAATTTAAAATCCAAATCGACTGGCACCCTAAATCTTTTTTTTACTGAACTAAACAAAAATTTTGTAATCACATTTCGTCCATGGTTAATAAAGCCAGAGGAGTGCTTGGTTTTATTAAAAGGTGATCAAAAGAATTCGATGATCCTTATGTCACTAAAACTTTATTTATTAAAAACTTACCGTCTTATTCTAGTAGACTACTGTGGATTAAATTAACCTCCCTAGCCAACCGTAGAACGATGCTTGGAACTGTCTTCATTTATAACTTTATAAATGGTGAGATTGACAGCCCCGACTTGGTAAGTCGGCTAAACTTTTCTGTGCCAAGTAGATTAACTAAAAATTATATTCCCCTAATATTGAATCATTGAGTCCCTTGGTCAGTTGGTCGGGTAAGTAGGCCGTGAGACTCCGCCCAAAAATAAAAAAAAAGACGATGTTTTTATCCAAATTGGTAAAAAATAACTAAATATTAATTTATGACCGAGATGTCAGAGTCGTAAAGGCGTAAATCCAATCCGCCATAAAAGAAAACAAAATACATTTTTTATGACAAAGTATTATTTCTTTCCCTGCCATTAGTGGACCGATTTTATCACCTTTATACTTAAACAAGATAATGACATTTACAGATTTTTCTAACTTATACAATTTTAAAAGAAGCTAAAAAGGCAACGTGCATACATTATATCACGGATAAAATTTGACGTGGAGAACTTTTCGTCTCACAACAAAATCGGCTATGTATCTTAACTAAATAAAAAACTTTATAAAAATCAACAAATGCAGTGCCTATAACTTAATCTAACACATATTTGGCCTCTTTTAGCTTCTTTACCGTTCCCATTCCTAGATCATTATTGGGTCCTCCTTAGGTCCCTCGCGCAGCTCTTCCCCCGCGACCCCCTGACCTCGGCGCTTGGCTAGATTCAAGTCTCGTGCCTCTTCCATGGTTGTTGGAAGCACCTTGTCCGCCGTCTCGGGAAAAGCCAAGGTGAGGATGCCGCTGATCAGAGCAAAGGTAGCGAATAGTATCTGCGGGGCGTAGATATAGTACTTAGCCTGAAAGGGAAAAGTGACTTGGATTATTTGGCTAGTCATAGAGGAGCTTAGCACATTCTAACCAGTAGAGGAGTTTGGGGTGCCAACATGGATCCGATGCGTCCCACCATGGAGCAGAGGGACAACAGGCTGTTCCGCACGTTGGTGGGAAAGATCTCCGACGTGAAGAAATACAGGATCTGGAAGCTGCAGGTAATGGCTAGCTTTCCAATTAGGAACAGGGTTAGGGAACCCGCGTAGTTATCTGAAAGCAAATAGATTCAATTTATTTATGTGTAGGAAGACAGGATAAATACTCTTAAATCAGTTAAAGACTATTACCTGCTGGCACTCCCGCGGAGGCGCCCATGCAAATGGCACAGAGCAGCATCGAGGCGCAGAGCGAGTAGCGCCTGCCAACGCGATCCATTATGACCAGGGGCAGCAGAAGGCCCGGGATCTGGATGAAGCCGTTCAGCATGAAGTTGGTGTACTTGTTGCCGCCCAGGTTAACCGAGTTCAGACTCAGTCCCAGTGCGATCAACGTGTGCGTGAACCAGCAAAGGCAACAGTTGGCAATCCGCAACGAAAAGAATCGCACGGCTCGCATGATCGGGTACTGGCTCTCATTGGCCTGGCTGAGCTTCTGTCGGTTGGTGGCCAGCAGCTCCTCCACCTGGTCCTCGGGCAGGGATCGCTTGTTGATCCGAGCAGCGCGTCGCAGAACGGCGGCGGCCCGCTCTTCGGCTCCCTGGCTCAGGAGCCAGCGAACACTCTCCGGCAGGATCCAAAGGAAAAGGATCTGTAGCACTGCCGGGGCGTAGAGCACCCGGAGCAGCCAGCGCCAGTGTTGCACCTGGGAGGCCAGGAATCCGAGGAAGGCCTCTCCCAGTGCATAGAAGATCGTGATAATCGTGGCCGCTGCCACTCGACGCTTCGGGCCCACCAGCTCGATGGCCAGCAGGAAGGCGGTGGGGAAAAGGGTGCTGCCCACAGCCATGTCTAGGAACTCGAACACCAGGAACATGGGGTAGTTGCTCGATAAAGAGCGGATCACGCCCATCAAGGCGCTCAGGGATCCGGCTACGGCTAGCATAGTGCGTCGTCCAAACCTGAGATACAAAGATATAATACTGGAAAATCCTCGCAGATTTTAGGATAACTTACCGATCCGCAAAGAATCCTCCGAGCGGTATGCCCACAAACTGGCCCACATTGTTTATGGTGCCCACCAAAGAGAGCTTCCATTCGTCTTCACAATATATTCCGAACTTTGGGGGCAAAAACGGAATATCGTTAGGTATTAAGTATCTAAGAATTGAATCAGCTATCGTATTCTATAGTCTTTTTCAGAAATTAATGATTATAAGTAAATAAATAGTTCATTATTATTATTATTTTGATAAACATTAACATTTTTTTGAACTAAAAAGTTTTCCAGTTAAGTTAAGTGCCTAGCACAGTAAAGCACAACCACAACTCAGCACTTTTTTTTATTGTTAGTGCGTCGCTAGCTTCTGAGAATAAATAAAACCTCATAAAAAATGTATTAAATCAAGAATTTCCCGCGAGGTTTTAATCAAGAGAGTTTAGCTTTGAATTTACTTCCTTATCTTCGCCTACCCACCTCCGTTGATATAGTCTTCTCCTCATCCCTGAACTTGAAGTCGTGTCCGCAGGTCTCCGATTTATTAGTAAAGTACTGCTCGTCGCAGTAGGGCCCGGATGGATCAGTGAATAGCTCAGTCTCGTTGACAGCGTAGCGATGGCAGGCATCCCAGGAGTTCTTGTAAGGGATAGTGAAATTTAGCCAGCTCTCCTCGTACACACTGCCGGAGCTATCGCACTGCGGGACGTTACACCTAGTGACGTTTCACATCAGGAATATAACTCGAAATTAGATTTCACGGACATTTGGCCTACCTGTGAACCACTGTGCTCGCCGAGAAAACATAGGAGATGGAGAAGAAGGCGTTGAAGAGCATGGGAATGCACAGCAGAACATAGTTAATGATCTGATAGCGCCCGAACTGGCCGATCCTCACCAGAATGGCATCCAGAGAGTTGTCGTCATCCCCACCTGCCATCGTCGCGTCCGTGTCGGCATGTCCATTGGCTTTGCCACTGCTCGGGGAGCTGCCGTTTCCATTTTGGCTGGTCATGATGGTATTCAGTTGAAGTGCCCGTTAGACACGTGGTAGAATGCACTTTTAATCGGTGTTTTATAACTCGCGGCCCGCGATCTTTTCGCCCCGTTAGCTTTCGGCCTTATTTATAGACGCTCTGGAGCGTCTCGCTGGGAGCAGTGCCACTCATTGACTGATTTAACCACACCAAATGGTTGAGTTCGCTGTGTTTTGACTCGACGCTCGCATGGCTCGCATGGCTCTTTCCGATTACGCGTCTCTCGTGCGTTTCTATTTTTAATCTGTCTGCTCTTCTCCATGCCGCGAGTTCTACGCTTCTTATCGGGCCTTTATCAGGCGCCAATCCAAAACTATTTGCACTTCCCAACGCTCAATATTAGCATTAATCCGAGCGCGTTAAGTTCTGAATGGTTTAGCAGCATGCCGTTAATACCAATCGATATAGGAACTGGTTTCGCTCTCACTGATTATCTGTCAGACGGCGAGACATGGTGTCTGGTGGGTGGCTAACAGCTGTTCCAGCCTGTTAGCTGATTGCTACTAGGTCAACAAGTTGTCCGACCTGGCACTCTGCTCCTTATCTTACGCTATTTGCCCGATGTCATTGACTTTGGCCATGTGTCTGGTTCCTCTGTTTGCCTTTACACTTGATTTACTTTACCCGACCATAAGATGATTAAGTGAGGAAACTGTGTACACAAGTTCAGTGCCTGGTTGACTATTCGATCGACTGGGTTGCCGAACAGATTGATAAATCAATGATAAGTTACGATGAAGCCACAATAAATTGGAGCTCGGTGAATTATTGGCGCGCTGTAATTGAAATCGGTTGATAGATATATGTGTGGCACTGGCCCCACTGAAAGAGAGCTATAAATCGGTAATACCTGGCGGAATTGCTGGCCATACAGCTGATAAGCACCGACTGCAATCGGTATTAGATACATTTTTGAGCTGAACAATTATTTATTTTGTTAAGCCACTTGAACCTAAATCAATTCACCATACCGAACTATCTTTTTTTTTTTCTCTCGAGCGGCTCAGGATTGCGGTGTCGTCAGCAAATGTGGACGTAGTCAGCCTCTCGTTCGTAGGGATGTCTGCTGTGTAAAGGACAAACAGGGTAGGCCCCAGGACGCTACCTTGTGGGTCTCCGTCTTCAATGTTATACTCGTTGGATGTCGTTGTATTGCATCTAACCTCAAAGACTCTGTGGTAGAGGTACGACTTAAGTAACTTATGAGTGTTTTCTGGCAGTAATGTTATGATTTTATGCATAAGGCCTTCAAGCCACACTCGGTCGATTGCCTGAGAGACGTCGAGGAATATCGCACTACAATATTCCCGATGTTCGAAGGCTGTACGAATTTCTGAAGTTATCCGGTTGACTTGCTCGATGGTTCCGTGGCTTTCACGAAACCCGATTTGATGTGCCGGGATTAAGTTATTTTCTCTTAAATATGGTGTAATGCGCGTGAGCAGGCATTTTTCCAGTAATTTGGACAGGCACGATAGTAAGCTTACGATGAGGGAATTGTGTGGTCTTTCCCAGGCTTCGGTATCATTATAACCACGGACTTTTTCCATTTTTTAGGGTAATAGCCAAGTTTTGTGATCCCGTTAAATAGCTTGGATACTACATCCACTGCGCAGTTTGGAAGTTCAATTATAATTTTTTGGGGTTATTAGGTCGCCCCCCTGGAGCCTTTTTCGGTTTTATTTGCTTCCTAATGACGTTAGCAATTTCAGGTGCTTGGAACAAAATCGGGTTAATTGCAATTTCAGAGCTAAGCGGCGGTAGTTGAAGAGAGTTTGTGGCGGCGTTCGGCTGAAATACATCTCGTAGGTGTAAAGCAAATGTTTCGGCTCTGTCTTCGTCACAGCGGGCCCAAGTACCCGAGGAGTTTCTAATCGGAGTGACTGATTCTATCGGAGAGCTTAGATTTGGGTGAGCTCTCCACAAAGGATGCTTTGTACTGGTCGGTGACAGTTTCTCAATGTACCAGCGCTGCGCAAGCTCCTCTTCTTGCTTGAGGGTTTTGGTGAGTCTGCGGGTGGCATCATTATAGAGTTGCTTCGAATGGGGCGATCAGCAGGATTGCCAAGCGCTTCGTTGACGTCGCTTTTCCCGAACCAGTTGTTCGATTTGCAGATTAGTTTTGTATTGGTTGCTACGCACGATTGTCTCTTCTGGTGTTGAGATTTTGGCTGCCGCCACGAGTACTGACTCCAGGGCATCAGCACAGAAGTCGATGTCGTTCTCTATGTTTAACTGTGGTGTTAATTCAATGTGGGAACTTACGTACATTTTGTACTTTAGCCAGTTAGTTCTAGTCGAGGTCAGCCTGAAGGGGTGCTCGATTACTTTCGGGCTTTGAAGGAGAGTTATTAGAACAGGCGAGTGGTCCGATGATAAGTCCGATAGCGATTTGGCCCTTACTAAATTTCTTGGGATGTTCTTGGTAACAGCGAAGTCAATTAAGCCCGGGAGTTTTCTGGGGTCAGCTGGACAATATGTGAGGCTGCCAGGGGAGACATAGTCGAGTTTGTTGCTCAAATTTATGATTGCTTTATACAGTTGTCTTCCTTTGGGAGTCACAAGTCTTGATCCCCAGTGCGTGTGCTTGGCGTTGTAGTCTCCTCCTGCTATAAAGCGATCTCCGAGTGAATTGTAGAAGTCCAAGAATTGCTTTTCAGTTATTGTAAAACGCGGTGGGCAATAGACAGCGGCTATAGTGATACTTCCGTTGCCTGCTTGTAGTTTTATAGATGTAGCCTGCAAATAATTTGTTGCAAACCTCTGGTGAAAGTGGTGCTTAATGCGTTCCCTGATTAGGATTCCAGTTCCTCCGTGAGCCTTACCGTCCGGATGATCTGAGCGGTATGAAGTATAACCTCTTATTGTATTTACTTGTGAGATGCGTTTCTGCCAGCAGCATTACATCTATTTGGTTTTCATTGAGGAATTGAGTTATTACAAGTTTGTGCCGTGAAATGCCATTGGCATTCCACATGGATATTCGAAGACAAGACATCGATTATTTAGATTGTTGGGATGTGAGCAAATTTATTAAAATGTTCTGATTTTGCATAAGGTTTGTCATAGTTGTTTTCATGAAGGACATAAATTCCATCATACCCTGCTGTAAAGTCAGCATCATGGTTTCCATGCTCTTTGATATTTGTCCTATTGCTTGCTGAGGTGTTATTATATTTTGCTCAGAGCATTGAGCTTGTGGGAACCCCGTCTGATTAGCAAGCCCTGATTTTAGGGCACTGGCGTATGAAATGAAGGTCTGGCTGGGCCATTCAACAGTAATCCTTCTATGCAACAGGAATTGCAGTTTGTAAAACGGGTGCACTTAATTTTTCTTCAAGGCTCGGCTTTCTGGCTCCAGTTCGACCTTAAAGAGTGGTTGCGGCTTTTTATTTTTGTTGATAATATTAATAATATTTTTGGAGAAGAATCCTTTTTCTTTCAGTGCCTCTTTTATCTCATTGGTGGATACGTCGGGCTCTATGCCCTTTAGCACTACTTGCAAGCCCTTGCTACCCTTGAGCTGGTATGTGTAGTAGGGTTTCCAAGCCTCGTCTAGGTAATTAGTTACAGCTCTGAATTGATCTTCAGTTTTAGCTTGAAGCTTTGTTTCATGAATATTTCCTTTAACAAACGGAGTAACATAAAAGTTGTCATTCCCGACTACACTGCAAGCTCCATGAAGTGGGAGTTGGTGTGAGTAGGGCGGGAGAACAAGACCGTGCTCTCGCACTGTCAATGGTCAGTAGGGCTAAGTTGCTCTTTGAAGAAGTTCTTTCTACTTCTGTATCACGGGTTGAGAAATAAGAGATATAACTGTTTCTCTGGTCTACGGAGCGTCTACGCTCATTTTTTGAATCGCCGCTCATTGAGCTATCTATCACTCGTGGCACTTCTTAGTTTTTATAATAACTTTTCAATAGTTTTATACATAGCACTAATTATTATTAACTGTTTTTAGCAATAAGATTGCCTTTAATACACCACTTCAGTATTTTTAGTTATTGTTTTTCACTTTTGAGCGGTTTTTTTCCGGAACTCGCGCAAAACACGTCTGCACTCTCCGGCTGTTGTTTGAACTATCTAAGATCGATTTTTTATTTATGAAAGATTTTGCTTCATTAATAAAAAATAACATATTACACGCTTATTCCATTTCGGAGTTTAATAAAACAATTTTTACGGTGCTCCTCAATTGAATCGAATACGATTAAACAACAAATTTTAAGAGTTCATGATTTGTAAAATTTTTAATTCAAATCTCAGTCATTAGTCTTTGGACGAATCTTTTAAATTACCTGTATCATATAACAATAAGAGGTGGTGGAAAATAAACGTGTTTTCGGAGCACGTAAAATCCTCGGCGTTTCATATTTCTGGTCGGCTTAGGGTCGGTTGACAAAAAATAATTCAACATTTCTCTATTAATATTTGACTTTTTAATGTCTTTATAACCAAACAAAAATCGAATTATAATTTTTACGTAACTAATGGGAAACCCATGGATGAAACGATGTAAATTGTTCTTTTCTTCTATAATTTAAACGCCGAGGAGAACAATCCGAACACAAGTTGTATTTTAAATATTTTGGTCGGCAGGTTAGGTGTTGTGGGCTATGACGTCATGTCGACTGCATAAGAGTTAATGCGTGAATATCTTCCTACATTTCGTTCAGCTGATTTCCACAAATATTTTTGAGCTAAGACGCGTGCATTTTTCACCTTTTCTGCACCACACTTGCTCTTGGCCTTTTTAACCCTCTTTGGTTGCTTTTAAATGCTGCTTGGAAGTGCTGTTACTGGAAGCATTTCTCTGCTACCCAGGTGCCAAGCTCATCGATTTATAAAAATTCGTAAAAGAAAAATAATAACTACTCAATTTGTTCGACATTATTAGGAAAATTTATAACCCTGCATTCTGACTTGGCGGCATCTGGAACTTTTCCAGAGAACCAGAAAAAGACCCATCCACCGTTGAACACTTTTTTTCGTATGCAGAATGCGTCTATTAAAATTAAAATACACTTACAGTCTTGGTCTTGATTTTAAGAATAGCCAAAAAAAGCAACTATGTACGCCTGTTGGTTGGAGTTAAATTTGTTCCAGACAGCTGATAACAATGTCGGTGAAAATTAAAAGGATTGAGCTGAAACCCCAAAACGGAGATATAGCTCTGTCTAATCAGCTAATTTTTACGTTTTCTGGTTCTCGCCACAGAGGAGCTCGATCAAGCCCTTCTACATACAACTGCATAATTCGAACTTCATTAATCTCGAATTTCTCCGAATGATTGCAATTGCCAATTTTTACGTTACAAATTATTATAATTTACTTTATATAAATATCAAAAACATTTTGTACAATTCGTTTTTCTCTATATGACGTTATTTTTATAATTGAGTAATTCGAATATATCAAGAAATCGGAGCGGTTTTAAATATTTTTCTAAATAGAGAAAAATACAATTGCGTTAAAAAAATTTTAAAAAAATAGTATATTTTTCAAAATATTTTTTAAGTATATATATGTATAGGTACATATATGTAAAGTTGGTATTAGAAGTGGTTTATTTAAAGTAAAAAGTACGCTGGGATATTACATAAATGATCAATGCTTACAGCATCGTTTTTAACTTCCTATAATAACTCAAGCAACTGAAGACAACTTTAGGCAACTTCCACCTCTTCCTTCTGCGAATAGATCTCCGTGCTAATTCCTTCTCCGATTTCTGATTCAACTGTTCTCTCGATCGCCGAATACCATTAACAACGAAGGAAATTTATATACTACCTGCCCTGTTCTGCCTTAACCGTTTAAATATATAAGTATATATATCAGGGACAACGAATTTTTATTTATTTTATTTTTAACACTAAAATATAACGAGTATAAATTAAATAAATTAATTGCTTAATTAGTTTAAAATGTCAGTTTAATTTAAATTTAAAAAGTGGGGCCTTTAAACTTTTTTCTGGTATTTAAAATGATCTAAGAAAAAAAAGTAAAAGCGAGTTGATCGATATAAAACTTGGTTGGACTTTTTAAAAAATGAAAATCTTTAATTTGTTTTAAAATTATAAATGGCTTACAAAATTTTGTGATGCCCATCTTGGCAAATTGCAAAACTATCCGGCACCTACATCTTTGTTTGTAGAAATATTTTTTTTTGAGAAATAAGTTTGTTAAACAAATTATCTTTTCCAAATCAGTAAAATTCCTAATTCCTAATATACGAAATTTACCCAGTGTAAATTCATATTCCAAAATAACTAAAACCACAGCTAATGTGTCTGCAGGCTTCTTAGATTTCTAAATTGTTTATTGCTCAATAAAGACTTACAAATTTGTTGGTCATCAAAAACCGCACGCTCCGATTACATTGATCACTGATACCGGCGACGCGATACTGCCTCAATTTCGATTAGGCAGAACTTTTCGCTACTTTTGTCTTGGGTATACTTTTGTCCAGGGCACGAGCTTCAGCCAGTGTGGTGGGCAGCACCTTGTTAGTTGTTTCCGGGAAGAACAAAGCCAAACCCGAGCAGGTAAATCCAAATAGGGCAAATAGCAAATGGGGAGCATACTGGTAGTGTACGATCTATAAGCAACGTGGTATTTATTGGCACAAACCGGGCACTTATTTAAATGTTACTCACTAGTAGAGTGGTTTGGGGGGCCAGCATGGAGCCAAAGCGACCCACACTGGAGCAGAAGGAAAGCATGCTGTTCCTGCAGTTCGTGGGAAATATCTCCGAGGTGAAGAAGTACAGGATCATAAAGCTTCCGGTGGACGTCATTTTTGCCAGAAAGTAAAGTATTGAGGAGGTCAGTGGGAACGCTGTTGGAAGAGTCGAAAGGATTAGAGTTTGAATTTGGCGTTGAATTCCATTCGAATACAGATATAAATCCCTTGATAAAAATAACCAATTAAATGACTCATACCGAAAGTTTTTGGTTGATTTTACCGAAATGTAAATGTTGATAAATTCTTTCGAGCACCAGTCCAAACACAAGCTCACCTTCATCCGTGGCAGCCACTGCCAAGAGCAGGGCCGCACAAGTGAATTGGCAGGAGCTGAGCGCCCAACGTCGTCCTATCCAGTTCATAAGAGTGGTGGCCATCAGGATACCAGGCAGCTGCATGAACCCCGTCATGCTAAAGTTCTCGAACTTGCTGCCACTTAGCTGGGTGGAGTTCAGGCTCAGGCCCAGGGCGATAAGGGTGTGGGTGAACCACACGAAGCAGCACAGGGCGGTGCGACAGCCTAGGGCCTGGAAGATCTGTCGGACGCTGTAGTGGCCACCGGGGGCGGAGGACTGGGCCACCAGCCGGCGGTTCGACCGGATCAACTCGTTTAGCTTATGCTCCGGCAGTTCCTTCCGGTTCACCCTCGCAACCCTCCGCAGAGTAGCCTTGGCGTCAAGCTCCTTCGACTGACTGAGCAACCAGCGCACGCTCTCCGGCAGCAGGCAGATGAAAATCAGGTGCAGCAGAGCGGGAGTGTAGAGCACACGCAGCAGGACGCGCCAGTCGCGCAGGTAGTTGGCTAGGTAACCCATGAAGGCCTCCGCCAGACCGTATGTCAGGCTTATCATGGTGGCGGCCACCACGCGGTGCTGGGGGCCCACCAGCTCAACGGCCAACAGAAAGGCGGTGGGGAAGAGGGTACTGCCCACGGCCATGTCTAGGAACTCAAGGCTCAGGAAACTGTAGTACTCCGGCGCGTGGGAGCGAGCCAGTCCCGCAAAGGAGCTTAGGATTCCGGCGGCGACCAGTATAAATTTCCGCCCATATCTATAGCCAAAAAAGAACTTGTTAATGATGCACAAGCAAAGCCTAAGCCAAAAAGTGGCAAGACGTTCTAAAATAGGGTAATAATATATAGAGGCATTTCCCTTTCCATTTTTCCGATTATGGGTTTTTTTTTACAAATTTCAGGGCGTGCGAAAATTTTTGAAAAAAATTAAGTTCCCCGTTGTTTAATCCAAATTATTCTTCACGAATCAGGACGTTCATACGAACAAACGGATAGGAAGGCATGGCTACCCAAAACATTTTTCTCAACAAGCAAAGAGTATCAAAATCTACAATAAAATAATGACAACATTTTGCGCGTATCTGTAATAATCGTTTTCATTTCGCCCTTCGTATTCAACACCAGTTTGGTTGGATTTTAAACGCGCTGTGAATAACAACAATTTTTTTCGACAATACTTAAAAATGCGAAAGTTAAACCAAAATGTTATTGATTCAAAATGTCATTGCACCTTTCCCACCAATGAAAATATATCTGGCTAAGCAATATGAAAGTATTTGCCTGCTCATTTAACATACCGATCGGCTAGATAACCTCCTAGGGGTATGCCCACAAACTGTCCTATATTGTTGACTGTGCCCACCAGCGATAGCTTCCATTGGTCAGCGCAGAATATGCCGAACTGTTGGGACAGAGAGGAGCTGTAAAAATCAAATCAATAGCTTTCGGAAATACCATCGAACCTACCTCACTGGCAATCGTATTATCGTCGCTTTTTAACTTGAAGCCCGCCTCGCAGCTAACTCGTTGACCCGGATCGAAATTGCTGGCATTGCACGTAGTGGCACCCACCAGATCTGATCTCACGGCGTAGTGCTGGCACTGATCCCAGTTTCCGTGGCGGTGCGGAATGGTGAAGTTAAGGAAGGGTTCATCATAGCTGGTACCCAAGCCATCGCACTGAGGGATGTTGCATCTGAGAAAGATTCCCAACTTTAACATGGCAATAGCACTATCAAACCTGCCCACCTGTGAAGCACATCACCGGCAGTAAAGACGAAGGAAATGGAGTAGAAGGCGTTGCAGATGATAGGGAGGCAGAGCAACAGGTAGTTGAAGATTTGGAAGCGTCCGAACTGGCCGATCTCAATGATGATCGCGTCCAGCTGGCTCTCCTCCCCCGCCGACTTTTTAGTTTCTGCGGAATCCAGCCCAGTTTCAGGCTTCTCTGGAACGACCTCCAGTGTGGGCTGTAGTTTGGGCATGCTGCTGCCGATATCGCCAAGCGTCGCCAAGTGACTGACTCCGGCTTGGAAAACCGCAAGCCCGACGCTTGTTGACGACGCTTAATTGGCTAAGTTATTCACGGCGGAGAGATTTGTCCCCGAGCAGTTTCCCTGATGTTTTTTCACACGTTCAATTACCTTAGCTCGCCCACAGAAGCCGGATTTAATTGCCAGATTAACTATCGGAGATGAACGCCTCAAGAGCAGCCTTCTTTTAGCTGGCAGGTGAACAAACTGTCAGCTTATTACGAACTCAGTGTGGCCATTGTAATGTAATTATGCTTTTATTGTTCAGATTCAATGCAAGAATTAAAAATATCACTTGAGATTGTTGTTTTTGTTGTAAGAGAGTGTGATTTGGTGTATGGGTGAATAAAATGACTACGAAACTAATGTATAAATAGAGTACGAATACTTTAAGGGTTCTAAAGCTTAGTTCAAAGGAAACTTGGATTAACATTGCGTACGAATACAAATACAGGTAGAGAGAGGGTTTCCTTATTACTCCCGATCACACATCTGGTTTAATATGGCAAATACCGAACAAACTCGCGACGAGCTAGTTATTATTACAACCTAACAGCCCAGGAGTTCTTCCCCGTCAGCTCCATAAATCATCTTTAGCATTCGTATCCGAATGTTGCGTTTTGTGTCAAATATAAATGTCAATAAATTATGCCTCGTTATGGGTGTGCCCTAAAACTACAAATTACATATCCATCTATTTATGGAGACAAGCAAAGCTTCCGTGCTCTCTACTTTGCTACATTAATATCAATCAATCTTATCGATTTTCAATATGATAATTTCGTTTTAAACTATTTTACGCCGACTACAGGTTGTACATGGGATTACTGGTAGCGTCAAAGAGCTGAGTTCCTGTAGACTCGATCATGGACCTCAGGGCAATGCTCCGCTGCTTGGCCACCGCCTTTCGCAGCGTTAGCTCAAACACATTGTCCTCGTCTATATTGTCCATCGGCATGTGTTCCCGGTCACCCTCTTTCCGATCAGGAGTCTTGAACACGAGCTCCTCGTGATCATAAAGGACACATGTCTCTGCAAATTCCTTGGCAAAGTACTGTGCCGTGTTCCGATTTTGAATAACCTCGCTAGGAAAGCACTGCAGAAGTTCTTCGAAGCTCAGCTCAGCCACCAAATTGTTGAGTATCTCTGCAAGTTTAAAATTATATTATTTGTTCTTTTCGATGAGCTCTTTTACAAACCCGAAATGTGACCCTTCCAGTTGGGCAGCGCCTCCTGCTTGCTGAGAATTTTCCGCAACAGGCTCTCCCAGTGCTTAGGCGTGAAACCGCAGGACTGCATGATAATTAATTTCAAAAATATTTAATATAAGGGTTGTAGACTTACAAATTTTTATAATAATTAATAGCTGTAGCTGAAAGCATGATTGAGACTAATTACACCTTTTTGCCGAGCATGGACCGGAAAGAAAGTGGTGCGCTCAGTGAATATTGTTTTATTGGAAAAGTCCTTGCAAGGTAGCAGCTTAATGTTAGCATAGAATGAGTCCCTTGAAGGTACTGCCCCTCATATCACAGGTCTCCCAAATCTGTTATCCTGACACGATTAGGGAGCAGTTCAAGAGGCACAGAGATATGATAGTACTGTGAAGACTACCGGCTGTCTTCTAAGTTTCAGCTCAGCAGTGTTTTGTGTTATTTAGCCAATATTGATCGCCAATATAAGGAGTAGCGAACCAAAGCGGATCATTGCTGATCATGGAATAAGTTTTGCAAGCACTGGCTTTAAAAACTTTGTAAGTTTCAAATAGTCAAGAACGCGTTTAAATACCATGAATATTTTTTTAAGAACGGAAAGGATAATTAAGCGTCTTTAAGGGTGCCTGAATGAAGTCCAGTTGCCGCTTAATATCCTTGAATTTTCTATAGCTTAGAACTGTCAATTTTGATTTACTATGCCGTTCATTGGAAACTAGATGATTTAAAAAGGTTAGTTTAAAATGATCAATTACCTTTCCATATTGCCACAAAAATGCGGGACTAAAACTAAGCAAGTAGTTTATGGCCAAATTCTTGGGCAACACGATGACCAAGAAACTGTCGATGCCCATTAAATGTGGCGTCTTTTGTATAAAGGCCAAAAACTCTGAGATGATCTCGCGATCCACTTTACTGGAGGCAAGCAAACTTTGAATCTTCAGGGTGAGGGTCAGCAGCTCGTTGTTCCAGCTGAGGAAGCGCACCTCAAACTCGCCATCGTCCTTGTTCGGGTAGCTAAAGTCGCTTCGTTCGAAGGGCGGAAGGCGGTTTAAATACTGCGGTCGTTCCAGCAGACAGGGAATTGGGCGAATATAGTGCTTAATGTGGCGATCATACTCCTCCCCTTCTGGCAGCTTATAGTCAGGAATGAAGGGCACGTATATCAACTTGCCGGCCAGGGGATCGTTGATATTTTTTACAATCGGCTTGGGGCTATAGTTGGGAGCCATTCCCACCATGTAGGAGATGCATTCCATGCGCAGGTTCATGAACTCCTCGCGACCAGCCTGTTGTTCCACGTCCGCTGACTGCAGGTCAGTAATAAGATCACTGAGGACTTTTAGGCGCCCCATATACATACGAAACAGGATCTTGAGGCCCTTGAGATTAGTGGCAGCCAGATCATCATCCGCCTGGGGTTGTGAGAGCGAGGCATTTGAATTGCGCTTCTGAAAGGGCGATGACTGTTGCTCCTGCAGCTGATCGTAGACGATTCGCTGTTGCCTGCCACTGATCGAAAGACTTGCCGATCGCTCTTCATGCGCCGAACTGGCGCAAGAGCTGGACAGCGACTGGGCATCTGCTTCGCTGTGCAGCGAGGGAGCCCGCGAACTGCTGCACTCCTCATCGTAGTCATCGTCCAACTGCGGTGGTGTGTGCGATCTAATCTCGTGGGGCTGCAAGGACGAGCTTACGTCGTAGATATCGTAAAAATACACCTGTAGAATGTTAACGAACACCTTCTGCGAGGTTTGGTATCCTTTTTGGCCAATGTGGGAGGCGATGTAGTTAAGGAACAACTGCAGAATCACGTCTAGCGTCAAGCTATGTTCAATGCACAGTGCATGGATGAAGACATCACTGACTGCTTCGATTAGCGCAGGCTGCTCATTGGCCAGCAGAATCGTCTCGCAGAAATCCGAAAAGGAAACGATCGTACTCGGAGTTGGTGTACTGACCGCAACAAGCTTGCTCTTTCCCCCTATCCTTCTGATTTTTTTACCTCGCGAATTGGATTGGGAGTCTGCTTGCTGCTGATGGCGTCGCTGATAGATAACAGTGCTGTCATCAAACAGAACATTCTTGTGCCGAATCAAGGCGGTGGCTAGGTTGCGTCTTGTGGACTTTGCAATTATCTCCTGAGCCAGTAGATAGTTGGACATACGGCAGGCCATCACAGCTAGCAGCAAGTTTTCTTCGGGGGAACTAGATGGTAAACTAACAAAATTGGCTAAGGTATCTTAACAGATTTGGGATATTCACTTACAGTTTGTTCAAGTACTTGAGATAGTTGATCAGCTCTCCACTCATGGAGTCCGCCACCACGGGTGAAATCAGCATTATCTTTGGAATCTCCACTGGTGCATGTTTAATGAACATGTTAAGAAACTCCAACGAAAGTGGAACCTGCTTGTAGCCCTGCTGGATCACCCGGGCGGGCGTAAAGTACGGACGTACCGTCTGGTTGAGAAAGGCCGACTTCAAGCGGTCTGTCCCCAAACTGAGTAGGAACAGTTTAACCGTGTATATCAGTCCCGCAAGCTCAGTGGTCTCCACGGTCTCATCGATGTCCATAAAGTTCTCTATGTAGTTATTAAAAATGTCTACCAGATGAAGCTGGCACATTCTGTAGAAACCAGTAGCCTGGAGATAAACCTCCTGTTTGTTAGAACTGAAAGAATAATAGATACATAACTATTTAGATTCACTAGGTATGCTAATTACATAAGTTATCCCCGACGAGCGGAAGGCCTCAGCTGCTAATGCTCTTATTATAGTTAGTTCATACTTTTAAAACGTAAGCTAGCTTTATATAAATAAAATAAATAAATATAAATGCTAACATTGAACTTTAAAGACCTTCTGCAAATGTAAAAAAAAAAACAAGAGAGAACGCTATAGTCGGGTGCCCCGACTATCAGATACCCGTTACTCAGGTAAAGGGAGTGCGAGGGAGATGGAGATAGAAACTTTGATCACGCATAACTTTTTAACGAATTGTCCGATTTGAAAAATTTCTTCTACATTTCGATAGGTATTGATAAACACAACAAAACTGCATTTTTACTTTTCCGAAATATTTAAATTTTTAAAATCGTATATAAGCGATTGTGGGCGTTAAAGGGGCGTGGCACCTTTTGAAACAAACTTGCGCTGCGTAGGAACTCCTAGAATCTGCATGCAAAATGCCAATCTTCTAGCTTTTATAGTTTCCGAGATCTCAGCGTTCATACGGACAGACAGACAGACAGGCGGACAGACAGACGGACAGACAGACGGACAGACAGACGGACAGACAGACAGACGGACAGACAGACGGACAGACGGACATGGCTATATCGACTCGGCTAGTGATCCTGAACAAGAATATATATACTTTATAGGGTCGGAAACGCTTCCTTCTACCTGTTACATACTTTTGCACGAATACAATATACCCTTTTACTCTACGAATAACGGGTATAAATACAAATTATTTTATATGGCGGCCATTAGAAAAAGTCGTTCAATTTGAATTACCTACAATTTAAACCTTTATATAGTTAAACAAAGCTTTCGGAAATGTGTTCTTTTAATAGCAAAGTACTGAAGAAGGCGCCCAAAAAACAGATGGACAGATATAAATTAAATTACACAAGCTATACCTTTTGGCATTCATAGGATAAATTGTCTCTATATTTAGACAAATAAATGTTAAGATATTTGTCTAAATATAGGGCATCAAAGAACATCTTTTAGATCCAGCCTGTTGATTCGTAATGTTAATTATTTCCCTAATTTTTTTTCTTACGTACCGTATTGAGAAATCAGCCAGCTTTCTACAGTTCGTCACGAACATTTTCCGAAGATGCAGCTCCCGTTCCGTCCCCAAGCGTTCGCCCTGCAGCGTGAGACTCAGTCGCAGCATGACATGCGCCTCCTCCATGAGATCGTAGAAGTTGCAGCTGCTCGCACTGCGGTATGACTCCGCAATGCCTTCAAGATCCTCTATTATGCACTCCACCCGAGGAACTTCAAGGTTGTACAGCGTCCATTCGTTGGCCGCCGCCGAGGATTGTGCTGCACTGCTGCTCCTCAGCAGGCTGTTGTGTTTGGCCTTTGCCTCGGCCAGGAGACGAGCGGCTATGTTCCTCTTAACCGCCACCACTTGACCGCCGGTCACCTCACCCATGCTGCGCCGCTTGTGCTGCTCCAAAGCTGCATTCGTGATGAGCACCAACTGCTCCCGGTTCACGCATACAAACTGAACGTGCATGAACGCGGCCAGACCCACGACGGCGATGGGCGAACTCACATCTGGGGCGGATTCCTCGGGGAAAAGACCACCTATCGAGGGGTATTCAAAGCGGTTGTGAAAGAGCTTGTGCCCGATGCGCGAGGTATGCGTTTCCACGGACTCTGAAGTCACTGCATACACCACGTAGTCGTTAATGTGAACTTGGATGACTGGTGCTGTAAAGCTGTAGCTGGCCACCGGCTTTTCGTTCTCACTGTACCACTTCCCTTGGGCGGAAAACTGGTACAGGAAGCCATCCACACTGCTGGCCACCAGGAGGGCGTGACCCATGCACCTCTGATGCTGCGACGACTTGAGCGTCCGGCGGTTGACGTGCTTGAAGGTGGTCACCGCACTGGGCACCTGTTGGTTGCCCATGTCGTACTCGTCGTCCTCTTGATCCACTCCTTGGCTGCTTCTTTGGTAAATGGCCTTGAGATCCATGCAGCGCAGTATATCCAAAACACGAGGTTGGTTCTCTGAGGTCTTCATGCAGATTTGAAGCAGCTTCCGCACATCATATTGCACTGAGGCATCTTCCATATGGCTTCCCCCGGCGATGCCCCTCACATTCATGGCCTTGGCCTCGTTGACGAGCTTGATTTTTATGTCCGCAGCTCGCTGGGGACTAATAGTGATATCCTGGTTGTCCTCTTGACCCTTTCCTCCTCCGAACTCACTGTCATCCCATTGGGAGCGCAGGTCTGGCTCGAATTCCCTGCCGTACGCATTGTTAACCAGTTTGGCCAAGCTGAAATCCAGTGGAGACCTTCCAGGCAGTGCTCCATTTATGGCCACCGGTGGTTTTCCACTGCTCGTCGACTGCAGGGAGTCGCTCTCGCAGCTCTGCTGGCTGTGGCTGGAACTGACCACACCTCCACCTCCCCCACTGGCACTAGCCTTGCTGCCAAGACTCAGGGATTCCGAGAGCGGCTCATCTCCGCCACCGTAGTCGTTGTCCAGACAGCTCACATCCTGCCCTCCACTTGCTCTACTCGCTAGCGCATCCACCACCTTGAAGGCCACGCAGTATCGATGACTGAGGCAGGCGATCACGTTCTCCGCCAGACAGAGACGCACTGGGACGAAGTTCAGCTGCACAAAGAACTTGAAGGGCAGGAAGTCGATGAAGGCGAATCTGGGCTGGGTGTTCTCGTGGACGCACTGCGTGTATTCATATAGGTAGATCCTGTCGCGGCTGCTCACGATGATGTTGCCGGAGGTCTGACAGCACTGCACTAGCTCCGGCGGACTCCGCAGAGGCAGCTCGATCACATCGATGCTTTCCACCAATGGCGTCTTGGGCGTGGTCATTGAAGCTATCCGAATGGTGATGGGCAGCTCGTTGAGGCGGCTGTCCGGAAATTTCCAAAAGTTGGCGTAGATACGAACGAACATCTTCGTGTCGTCCTCGGAGCAGACAGTATTGCTGTTGCTGCTCGACGTACAGCTAATGGTGGAGGAGGAATGCACTGGACTACCCGCCTGCTCTTTTTCCAGGGTGAGCAGGTATTTTCCTGTGGGAGATTCAGCTTTACTTGCTAATTCAGAAGCTTTAAGTGTCTATTACTCACCAGCCTCACAGTATATCAGTTGCACCACCTCGCCCACTGTGGCCAGAGTGCTCCTGCTCGGCGTTCGCTCATCGCCTCCGGTGGTGGGGACGTCACCGGAAGCTTCGTTAGACTGTCCCTCATCCAGTGGCGCTCTCCTTGTGTCCTCCGACTCGGTCTGCTTGCCCGCAATGTCGTAGATCTCAATAAACTGCTCCGCACTGCTGATGGCTATCCTATTGTTGCCGATCAAACTGGCTGCTAGGATGTCGCCGTTCAGGGCGTAGGTCTGCTGCCTAGCGAAGTTGTAAGCCTGCAGGATCTTTACCATGTTGGCTCCCTGAGAAATAAATAAGGGATTCTTTTACTTCGAAAGACAGACACAAATTGTAAACTACGCCCTCGGTTGAGGAGAGTGACTTCATCGCCGGACGTACACAGACTGATGGCCTCACGGTGAATACGCCGCTTGAGCAGACAATTTTTAGCGGGGTATGAGGAAGAGAAAGGGGAAGTCCGAGCGAGAGTGGGCTGACCGCTTAGCGGGGGCTCTGTCAAGTGGTTCTTGTTTGGGCATGTGAACCATTAGCATAATTGAGCGCTTATGCTGGGGGGAGTGGATAAGGGCTTAAGCTAACGTGAGAGTGAAGCAGTTAATTATGATTTAAATTACAAAACTGAAGCTAATATGATTGGTATTCAAGACACTGATCGCAATTAATTAGTGAGATCTTTTAAAATTGACATAACTGCGGTCAGAATAGTCTCCATGGTAATTATTTTTATACCCTTGCAGAGGGTATTATAATTTCGGTCAAAACTTTGCAACGCAGCGAAGGAAACATTTCTGACCCTATAAAGTATATATATTCTTGATCAGCATCACCAGGAGAGTCGATCTAGCCATGTCCGTCTGACCGTCTGTCCGTCCGTCTGTCCCTCTGTCCGTTTCTACGCAAACTTGTTCCTCAGTTTTAAAGCTATCTGCTTGAAACTTTCCCAAAAGTTGTCTTTTTATTGCAGGCAATTATAATTCGGTATGGGCGACTATTTCATATAGCTCCCATAGGGACAATCGGAAAAAAAAATTCAAAAAAATTATAATTTTGTTTTTAATTTATTTTTTGTTCTTTGTGATTTGTTTATATTTTAATATTATGGAATTACGGTTTTAATTTAAATAAAATCGGATAACAATATCGTATAGCTGCCATAGAAACGATGGCAAAATGCAGCGCAAAATCGACATAGCTTTATTGTTTTTAGTAATATAGGCATAGAAATCGAAATGTAGTCGATTTGTAATAACTGCAAGGGTATATAAACTTCGGCTTGCCGAAGTTTGTTTCCTTTCTCGTTAGAAATGATTTAAAAAACCAATACCAAAATTAAAATTCACTAGAACTGGAACTATAATATATATTATTTTCAACAATAAAGTAATAGGGGAAACATCGAAACTACTTGTACAACATAACATTCTGGTATAAGATAAATACACAAAGATTTGTTTCACCCCCGAGACTCTACATACATACATATGTAAGTTAAAGCAGAGTCGCATAGCGTACTGCAAAGGTCAGTGCTGCACCTTTTACTTCTGCTGGAATTCCTGCGGAGTCCTGCGCTTCAGTCATAAAGTAAACAGACATGAAATTAGGTCACAACAGTATACAAAAACACGCCCTTCCTGTTCTCTGTCAACCCCTCCCCCGCACCCCATGCATGAGATTTAGGAGCCACTTGAAATGGGTTGGGCGCTCGGCCATCGGTGGGCTATACGTGCGTTTGCCTAATTAAGCCATTGGATATACACTGGCCATACACTCGGCACATCAATCAAAACAATCTGAAACCGGAAGCGGGGTACCGAAAATAGAACGCGATACGACCGGAGACATTTATTTCTGGTCGTTTGTTCAAATCAATAAATCCGGCGATCATAGTCCGTGCATTAACCCAAATGAACTTGGGAAACGGAAAAGCCAGGACTTCGTTATCCGAAGGGATGGGTAGGGCGTAAGCAAGGGATGTGTGTGTAAGTAAATTGCATTTTGGCAACGGCATCCAGAGAAAAATCAATACCTAAGCACTTTCCAAGAAAGCCGCTTGCCACTACCGCAATTAGGTGATTATATATACCTTTTGTCGATTTTACATTAACGTTTAACCATTTTATTCATAAAATTACAACAGTTACAGTTTCCACATTTGTGAACACTCATTTTGTTACTGCTTAGGCGTCTATGTCCCGGCAATTATTATTGATTTCAAAATAGCGATATTTAGGCCGCATATTAAAAACTTAGCACCGGACCGCACATTTTTATATGCACTGGTTTGTTTATATTTTTACCGAGTGAAACAACAATAAAAAATGTTACTCATAGTGTGACCAAAACCTTGTTAGTGATAATAGCTGCAAACATTACTAAGAATCACCTACGATGTTTTAGATAAACATAAAAATTTAATAATACCCAAATCCCACAGAACGCATCCTATAGGAACGATTGGAATGTTTGACAGATCTGAATCGACAAATTATACTGAGCCCCATTCACTATACAATCTGGCAGCGCCATAATAACATTTTTTAAAGTAGGATTTTATCTCTCTTAAACAGTTTTCAAAATACTATTTTTTGATTTTGTTGATTAATGCCCCAAATAATGGATACAAATTTGTCAGAACTTCTTATTTATAGAACAGGATCGAAGGGAGTTTATAATATTAAAATATTTTATATATTACTACAATCTTTGCATTTTAGGATCGAAGAGTCATTATTTCGATCTTGCGGAGTCTCTCTATAAGAGTTGCTTCATAAACCATAGCTTTAAGAAATCTTGAATTATTTCCGATCAGGTAAATTCCAAGATTATGTGGAACTTATAGTTAAAAATCCTTTACATTTTGATTTGATGTTATTAAACTAATATAATTTAGGCTCTGCAACAAACGTTTTATTTCCGGCTTCTTTTCAGTTCCCTAAAGGTCATCTACAAACAAATAAGGAAATCCAGCTTGTCGCAAACTTTAACCCTTTTATTTGTAATCAGGGCATTAATACATCAATTCTGAAATTTTAAAAGGATTAAAATTCAGGGCTTTTTGGAAGGTTATCAATACTTTTAAATACTTTTCACTTAATGCTGGAATGTTAATCTACCAATGTCACGGCAATTCCTTATGGACATCCCGAAAACGAATGGTGGGTTGTTCTTCGTGGGAACTGGCTCTTTGAAATTAGAAATAGTACCCAACCATTGATTCAGGGAATTAAATAAAATTAAAATGTATTTTTAAACAGTTTGATAGGGTTAAAAACCATTTAAAATGCTAGATGACGGATGGTGGTTCAGTAAGAGCATGATATTCACCTTTGGCCAACGGCCAGCTGTTTCGCTTGGAAGTGCTTTGTGGGATCTGGGTATAACAAACCACTTTATATGGACCAAGGCTAGAGTTTGCATTTTATTTTAGTACATTTTTGCGGCTCAACGATGGTTTAAGAAGTCGCAGCTACGGTCACACTGCTCGCGCGCAGTGCAATTTCGCGCAATAATACGAAATACGAAAGCCATGACCAGCTCACGCAGCCATGTCAGCATGCAGAGCAAATACGACCGTGTGGTCCTGCTGGTGGACATGGACTGCTTCTTCTGCCAGGTGGAGGAGAAGCAGCAGCCGGAGTACCGCAATCGGCCGCTGGCCGTGGTTCAGTACAATCCATGGCGCGGAGGCGGCATTATTGCGGTGAATTACGCCGCTCGCGCCAAGGGAGTGACGCGCCATATGCGCGGCGACGAGGCGAAGGACCTGTGCCCGGACATCGTCCTCTGCCAGGTGCCAAATATCCGGGAGAAGGCGGACACCAGCAAGTACCGCGACGCCGGCAAGGAAGTTGCCAATGTGCTGCAGCGCTTTACGCAGCTTCTTGAGCGCGCATCCGTGGACGAGGCTTATCTGGACATCACGGAGACCGTGAATCTACGAATGCAGCAGATGCAGAGCGTAAGCGCTTAACCCCAAACCGAAAGCGTTTAATATATCCCTTTTGCTCTTTGTAGGGTGCCTTCGCTCTGAAGCCCGAGGAACTGGTTAACACCTTTGCCGTAGGCTACCCTAACATCGGCGACTATGTGAACAAGATCACGAACCGCTTCGCCAATCCCTACGTAGACGACGAACGTTTCCAGATGTCCTACGATCAAAACGACCTTCCCGCAGTCCGGCAGAGCGACATTCGACTGCTGATCGGCGCCTCTGTGGCTGGTGAGGTGCGGTTGGCGGTCAAGAAGGAGACGGGCTATGAGTGCTCCGCGGGAATAGCACACAACAAGATTTTGGCAAAGCTGGCAGCCGGCATGAACAAGCCCAACAAGCAGACCATTCTACCGCTTGCGGAGACCGCTGCTCTCTTCGACTCCTTGCCCGTGGGCAAGATTAAGGGGTTGGGGGGCAAGTTCGGCGAGGTGGTATGCGAGACCCTGGGCATAAAGTTCCTGGGCCAAGTGGTAAAGTTCACAGAGGCCGATCTGCAGCGAAAGTTTGATGAAAAGAATGGGTGGGTCGTGTAACTGGACTGAACCCCGTTCGGAATAACTTTTTTTCTTATTCCAGCACCTGGCTCTTCAACATCTCTCGCGGCATCGATTTGGAGGCGGTGACTCCGCGTTTCTATTCCAAGAGTATTGGCTGCTGCAAAAAGTTTCCGGGGCGGAACAACATTATGGGATTGAAAACCCTCCAGCACTGGCTGGGCGAGCTCTCTTCCGAGATCAACGATCGGCTGGAGAAGGACTTCATCGAGAACAATCGCAGGGCCAAGCATATGGTGGTGCAATACGTGCAGGACATTGACGGCGAGGAGGTGGCCAGCTCCCGCTCAACGGCTCTTAAGGATTACGACCAGGAGTCCATCGTAAAGTATGCCCTGGACCTCATTAAAGCCAATACTAAGACCTTTCTGCGTGCCGGCAGCGAATCCGTTTTGAACAACGCTATTAAATTCCTTGGCATTAGTGTGGGCAAGTTTGAAACCGTCTCCAATGCCAAGAACAAGCTGCAGGAGATGTTTGCCAACCAGGCTGCCAAAAAACGAAGGGTCAGTGGGGAGGAGGCAGTGCAACCACCAAAGGTCCAAATGCCAATAAAGCCGAAGCAGACTGAGGAGTCCAAAATGAAGAACTTCTTTGCCAACTACCTCCAAGGGGCTAAGAAAGAGGACACCAAGCCATTTGATAACTCTGGGGAACAGCTATCTGATGCGTCTGTTGAAGCTGCTCCAAAGAAGAGTTTCGTCGAGGAGTACAAGCAGAAACTCCATGCGGCCACGAAGACCAAATCAGATGCAAAAAAAACGGTTCTCACCTCAACGCCGCCGGAGTTTAAAGAAAGTTTCTTTTCCCAGTACCTGAAACAACAAAAAGAGTGTCGTCAGCAGGAGTCTAAGGCAGCGGGTGACGACTCATCAGATATGCAAGACTTGGCCGAAGAGTTGGACGCCATTGAGGCTAGCAACACAAACGATTTTGATGAAGACACTGAAGAGGAGACCGATTTAATTGAAAGTATCTCTAAATCAGTGCCAAAGAAATCTCCTTCCACGTCTAAAAATGCGGCTGCGGCGGATCAAACTTCCAAAGCTTTTCAAGGGGCGCAGCCAATATCTTCCAAAGCTACAATAGAGAATGAACTATCCACATCTAATAAGGCGAATATGGAGCCTCCCGATCCTAAGGCCCTTCCACTCACTGAAGAAGAACTGCAGCCTTCGACTTCAAAAAGGAAATTCGACGAGCTTGACAGAAACTACAAGCAAAGCTACGCAGAGTTCGCTCTACCTGAGCTTCGAACCGACCTTCTACCGATGATCAAATGCGATCAGTGCGGAGCTAATATACCCGACGACGTCAAATCCCTGCAAACGCATAGAGACCACCACTTCGCCCAGGAACTGAGTCATCAGCTGAGAAGCAAAGAGCGGGAAGAAAGGATGCAAAGCCGCCAGAAGGTATCTCCCAAACCGACGCCACCGAAGAAGATTAAGAAGACGGCTGGTTCTAGTAGCACAAGCAATACCACAGCTCGACCCACTAGCAGCATAGCCAAGTTCTTCAACGCCAAGCGAACCCAGGAGCCACCATCCAGCGATGCTGAAATGCAGCAGTGCACCGAGTGCAAGGCTTTCGTTAAGAGCGTGGACATGCCGGAGCACCTGGACTACCACGTGGCCAGAAACTTGCAGCGAGAACTGAACCAGCAGGATCTGCGCACACGGACCGCGGCTCTAAGCAAGGAAAAGACTTCCCCTGCTCAGTCGAAGAAGCAAAAACATAAGCATCTGAACACCACAATTGCCGCTTCCTCAAGTGGAACCAAGACAATTGCCCAGTTTTTCAGCCAAAGGAATTGATTGCTGGTCCTCTGTCCAGTATAAGTATTCCAATCTAGACTAGTACCTAAGGATGGACCAGCTAGAGGCTAACATACGAACTTTTGATTTCTTTAAGATTTAGTGAAAGCTAAATTGAGAACACGACTTTTGGTTTCAAAGATGTATTGAGCTTGCAAGATTTATAAAATTTATACTTTTTTTTTAATTTCATTAAGCCGAAGAAAAATTGTTTATTTGTGCAAATATGTATTACAAATTCGCAAATCAGCAAGTTGATTTGTGAAGCTTTTTTTGTTAAATATAAATATTGTGTTTTACGCAGTTAAATGATAAGTGAGTTTTTTGTTTTTGTAAATTTATTAACGTTTATAAGCTGTAACGAGTAAGACGGGTAATGAAACTCAAAAAATACTATTTGTACCTTCTTAATTTTCTTTAACGTTAGGCTTAAGTACCAATGTTGATCATTACCACTACTATACATTAAGAAATAAAACCCAGAGCTCTGTTAATGCTACAAAAATGATGTTTATGGTTTATTCTTTATCCTTAAAGTTATAACACATTTAAACAGAAATGTCTTTGTATTTGCAGGTTGCCTTACACTATGATTATTTTACTGATTACTGCGTTTCACTTGCCGCACCGACTAGATCGAGTTCCTTGCCCTGCGACGGTTTCTTCTTGACTCCGATGGCATCCGCTTCTTGCACTGTAGTGGGCAGAACGACGTTGGTGGTCTCTGGGAAGAAAAGCGTAAGCAATCCGCTTACTATGGCGGCGCCCGCGAATAGCATGGCCGGAGCACTGGCATAATACTTGGCCTGGAAAGGAGAGAGAACAAATCACTTAGACTTGAACGAGGAGCAGCTGCATCAAGTACCCACCAGAAGAGGCGTTTGCGGGGCCAGCATGGAGCCGAACCTGCCCATCATCGAGCAGAAGCTGAGCAGGCTGTTTCTCAGGTTCGTGGGGTAGATCTCCGAGGCGAAGAAATAGAGCACCTGAAAGCTGGCAGTGATTGTAAGTTTGCCAACAAGAAACAGCACCAGCTGAAGCACCGGCTGATCAGCGCCGGCGAAGATCGTTCCGATGCAGCAAAGACCACTGGTCAGCATCAAGCCGCAGAGGGAGTACCGCCTACCGAAGCGGTCCATGATAACCAGGGGCATGAAGAAGCCAGGGATCTCCACCAGGGCGACGTAGGCGAAGTTGTTGTACTTGTTTCCGTCGAGCAGCACCACATTGAGGCTCAGTCCGTAGTAGACCAGAACGTGGATAATCCAACAGAAGGAACAGTTGGCGATGCGCCACTTGAAGTTCTTGAAGGCCTCGCGAATGGGAAAGCGGCTCTCCGACGACTGTTGTAACTTGTCCCTATTCGCCAGGACGAGCTTATCCAGCATACTTTCGGGCAGCTCGCGCTTGTTGACACTGGCGGCGCGACGTAGTATGTTCTTGGCCCGTTCCTCCTTGCCTTGGCTGAGCAGCCAGCGGACGCTCTCCGGCAGAATCCAGAAGTAGGCCAGCAGGATCAGCGAGGGCATGTAGGTGATGCGCAGTAGGATGCGCCAATTGGGGAAGGCCTTGGCGGCCATGGCAAGCCCCACTTCCCCCACCGCGTAGAAGACCGTAATCACGCTGCAGGCCAGCACCCGTCGCTTGGGTCCCACCAACTCGATGCCGATCACGAAGCAGGTGGAGTACAGCGTGCTGCTGGTCATATTGTCCAGAAATTCGAACACCAGGAACCACGCATAGCTCGGCGAGAAAGAGCGAATAACACCCAGCACAGCGCCCAAAATCCCGCCCAGGGCGATCGAGAAGCTGCGTCCATATCTGATCGATAGGATTGTGATTAGGCAGGCGAATATTCTACAAGATGTGGTGCATACATACCGATCTGCTACAAAGCCGCCGATGGGAATGCCAAAAAATTGTCCCAGGTTATTTATGGTTCCGACCATTGATAGCTTCCACTCATCATCGCAGAAAATGCCAAACTACAATGGAACTATTATTATGATGCAAATCTTTTGTTATCCCAATTCTTCGCTTAATAAGGTACGTAAATTGAAGACTTTCATTAATGATGACCATTCATGTTGTGTGCAGTTTTTCGTTTAGGGATGCGAGTAATTTTATCTTTAAGAACATTTTAGAATTTATCGTTTTCATTTTTTTAACAGTTCTACAGTTATAAGAATAGACAATAATGGATTATGAGGGCTGCCTATTCGAGAAAAATTCGAATTAACTTTTCACATTAACAAACTTCTTCTAATAGCTATCATAGACTACCGACCTATCCGAAGCTTAGCTATTACAACAATTTAATGTTCCTCGATAAACATACACTTATATCTCTAGATTTCAACAATTTGTCTTTAAATTGGCATAAACACCGTAATAGGCCAACCTATATTGAAGTAAGTCATAAATAATTCATCTAATATAAACATAATTGTAAGATCCGGCATGCATCTTGCAAACAATTTTAGCTATAACAATAGCACCCCCAAGGATCTACCATTTCAGTCAGACTCATTCTGAAAGCTTACAACCACCTGCCGCATATAATCTCCTTACACAAAGAAATAACTTACAGCATACACTGACGAGTTGCATTCTATAATAGAACATAAAAGACCGCACAACTAACCTTCAAAACCTATTCACCCAAATATTTGACTGATGCACGCACTCCGGATAAAGTACAAAGAAAAAGAAGAAAGGAAGTCAACTTCAGCAGGCCGAACTTTATATACCCTTGCAGTTATTAAAAAACGACTTCATTTCGAGTTATATTTCTATATTACTAAAAACAATGAATCTTTTTTGCGCTGCACTTGGCCATCCTTTCTAAGGCAGCTATATGATATTGTTGCCCGATTTTAATTTACCTTGAACCGTAATTCCATAATATTTAAATATTACCAAATCCAAAAGAACAACAAAAAAAAATGAAAACAACCAAGTTCAAAAAAATTGAATGTACTACCTGCAATACAAAGACAACTTTTGGGAAAGTTTCAAGCAGATAGCTTTGAAACTGAGGGACTAGTTTGCGTAGAAACGGACGGACGGACAGACGGACATGGCTAGATCGACTCTCCTGGTGAAGCTGATCAAGAATATATATACTTTATAGTGTCGGATATGTCTCCTTCACTGCGTTGCAAACTTTTGACTGAATACCCTCTGCAAGGGTATAACAAGAAATAAAGCAAGCTTTGGCAAGCCGAAGTTTATATTACCTTGCAGTATTATGGAATTTTAATTTAATTAAAATCGGACATATAGGTCCATTGCTTTTTTTCTATAAACAAAAGATTCCTTTGCGATAAACTAATTATTTACTATAACAGAATAACGCTTTTAGTTTTGTTAAAATCGGACAACAATATCATTTAGCTGCCATAGAAATGATGGCAAAATGCAGTGTAAATTCGACACAGCTTCATTGTTATGCCCTTGCAGAGGGTATTTTAATTTTGGTCAAAAGTGTGCAACGCAGTGAAGGAGACATCTCCGACCCTATAAAGTATATATATTCTTGATCAGGATCACCTCCTGAGTTGATATAGCCATGTCCGTCTGTCAGATTCTACGTAAACTAGTCTCTCAGTTTTAAAGCTATCGAATTGAAACTTTGCACACACCCTTCTTTCCTTTGCACGCAGTATATAAGTCGGAACGGCCGGGATCGGCCGACTATATCCTATAGCTGCCATATAACTGATTGATCGGAAATGCCATAACTTTCGTGTTTGTAAAGTTAGGAAGTTGGGATTTTATATGGGTTTTATATTTGGACAATCAATCCGACCTACCAAATTTCATAAGGATCGGCCGACTATATCTTATAGCTGCCATATAACTGAACGATTGGAAATGCCATAACTTTGGTGTTTTTAAAGTTAGGAAGTTTGGATTTTTTATGAGTATTAAGAATGCATCATATGAATAATTTTGGAGAATATAATTTACAGAGTATTCTGCAAGGGTATATCAACTTCGGCTCCGCCCGAAGTTAGCTCTCCTTTCTTGTTTTTAGTAATATAGGAGATTGTGGTAGCACTAAATGGGTTGAATTTTTGTTTTAAAACCCAATTTTTGACCAAAAGGGACTTATGCTTTGTGATTTTCATCAGTTTTTCACCAGAAAGACTAGTATTCCGGATGACTTCTGGAAGATTTTCTTTTATAATGCTACAATATTGATCCTTTCGCAATTCCATCGATTAATACCAAGGGACCAAATCAATTTTTACGGATGCACCCCCAGACCATCATTGAACCGTCACCGTTTTCTGCACATTACTTGTTGACTGGTTTGTGGGATCCATCAAAAAATGCTAACTATTCCAAAATTGTTGGGTTTTCAAAATAAATCGATTTCAGTCACAAATGTTGTGGATGAACATACCAACAAAGCAAGACTAAGATTTTGAGCGTGCATAAATTAGAACAAAAGATACAGACCTCTGAAGTTAGAGTATTGAACTCGTGTTACAGTTTTGCTCGTCAGCGTAAATACTTTGTTATTTACGTGTATGTTAAAATAAAGACAGTTGTGCCGATTTAAAAAAACGAATTTCTAAAAATAATATATTTTAGAGAGTTTGCGGATATGTTTAAAAACATCGAAAATATACTTTTTTCCGTTTCGTTTTTTTCCGATTGAAAAAATAGTCAACCAACCCACCGATCCCGACTACCCGCAATAGAAATAAGATTGGGAGACTAATTTAATAATTATATATATTATTATTTGAATATTTATTGTGCCCTTCCTAATCATTTTAAACATTCAGCTTTGCGAAAAATAAGTGAACATTCTTGTCCCCAGTTGTAACTGAAATTCTCCTTAAACATTAATGTAAGTTGTAGCCTAATTTTACCTATCTCAAACTCAATTTATATTTTCATGTTGCAATTGCTATGCCTGTCTGAGGTACTTATCTGCCAGCCACTGCTCCCCCATCTACGTGTCCAATTGTCTGATAAAGAATATTTTAGCATGAAAGCTCATCAGGCCACTTAGGCAGCAGCTTCCGGCATTATCATACGGCTCATAATCATCTGCTCAAAGGTTGGCACATCAGATGTGCCTCCAAAAGTAAATTTGTTTACCTTATGAGTGGTAAAATTCCTCCATTATTCCTAAATTGCTAACTAAATATTATGACTTCTGTTTACCTTTGGACCTTCACAATGGTCTTTCTGTTGATTCAGTTGGCGTACTTGGCGTATACGTTTTATTGCAAGCTGAATAACGTATAATCAATAGGCAAAGAGTTTTACGAGAATTTACTGCAATCCTATCATAATTTTTTTAAACCCGTTTCGGGCCCCGTCTGGCAACCCACTATTTGATTAAGATTGTAAACTACTCCATGTCTGCTATCACTGAAAAACAATTTAGTCATTGAACCCGTGAGAATAGCTAGGACTTGTGAGCGTCAAAGTAATGGATGCGATTACCTCATATAAACCTGTATAAATCTCGATTATTCCTGCACACAATTTATTAGAGCAAGTTAATAAATACCTATTGTACAAGCTAATCAAACTGTGATACTTTTGCTTTCATTCTGATAGCACAAAGATAAGGATATTTTTGTTATGGTGAAATTCTGGGTATAAGACCAATTTTTGGCGATTACTTTCAGTGTGCATTGGTCCAGGCAGACGGTGCCTCAATCGACATGTTGCCAAAGTCCAGCGTTTGCTGGCGTGAGATTTGGATTTGAGGGTCTGGCAGGCGGTTCGCGTGGTGTCGTAGTACTGATAACAGCACCCCCAATGGCGGTAGCACTTTGATACTCACGTCATTCGAAATGGTAACTTCATTATCGCGGTATACGAATTTATTGTCAGGGCAGGCTTCCGAAATATTCGTAAAATGTCTGGGCAGGCAAATATTCTCCGACTGGTTCCACTGGGGCAGCTCGGAGTTGGTGTACCGATTGCAGGCGTCCAGATCCCTGCCGTTCTTGGGGATGCTCCACTCCGTGTGAGGATCGTAGTAGGGGGTCCCTGGGAAATCACACTCTGTGACGTTACACCTGTCGGGGTTGATATTTTCGGTATTCGGATTCGCACAACAAAGACACTTAAGGTCCGTTGACAGGCCATTAACTTCACCTGTGCGTCACTGTGGCGGCGGTAAACACGTATGTGACTGAGAACATGGCGTGGAACATCATCGGCAGGCAGATCAGCATGAATATGATCAGCTGGAAGCGCCCGAACTGGCCCAGATGCTTCAGGATGGCGTCCAGGGTCACGTCCTCCGAATCCCTCGCCGGTGGCATCTCCACCGTCGCCCCTGAGGGTGGCGCTTCGCTGGCTGCCATTTCCCAATCTCTGCCTTCGGTGATTCGGCCACAATTAACAGACACGTTTTCGGTTTATTTATGCACTCGCGCTGCGTTATTTTCATTTACGGAATCTATATATTTATTTTTACCCACGACGCCGAGCACTTAGGCGATGTGTAGGGCACCGAATCGCGTCTCGTACTGCGAATGGCCTGCTGCGATCTCCGGTTTGCGGCGCGAGCAATCAGCGATCGCAGTCCGAGTGACGAGTGAGGAAGATCGCCCCACCGACCAACTGTTGAGTGGCAAAGGCGCCTTGATAAGACTGCCGGTTTCATGGGGTTCCGAGTTTTGGCTTTGAGATTATGCCCCGGTATAGTGTGTTGGTGTGGGATTGGCTGCGGTGAAAGTGGATCGCGGGAGTAGGCTGATACGTAGTCAAAGTCCAACAGACAGGTTGCCTCACTAGTGGCATTGAACTCAAAAGTACATCAACATGGTATTTAATAGCATATCATTCTGATATTAATGAAACAGGGCAGAATACGTGGATTCGACCAAAATGCCGATTGGTAACTTACTATAACATAATTAGTTTTTATTTTCTGTTGTTGTTAAATTCTTAAGATCTAGTACCAAGTAAACACCCTTTCGGTAACTACTTACAGAGAGGTTGGAGGAAGACCAATTTCCACAAATTCTATTGTTTTTATCACCAGTAAGAAACTAATAATTGGTGTAGCAATGATCGATTTTTAAAGAAAATTTTGTGGGGCAAATATAAATATATTTTATATAAAACTAGAAAATGGATAACCAAATGTATTGCCAATCTATAAATTAAATACATATTTTCTTAATAAGCAGTTTGCTAGTTTGAAAATCGAGACTCTAAGAAATATTGAATAATAGCATCCACATTTTCATTTTCCGATGAATTGTATCTAATTTAAGGGTCACGTGCCGCAAACGTGATATTTCCATAATGAATATGTCTTTTCTATTTCCGATTTGGCCATCGGCCAAACCATTAGGCGTACGCACTTACCCAGTGGCTGAATGTATTCACATACATTCTATATAATATAAACATCTGCAGCCATATACATTCTTCAGGCATGTTAATCATGTTCATGACCAGGGCTAAACAGTTTTATATTAATGCAATGAATGTGCATGTGTTTTTCTACCCTTAACTTTTTAAAGCCGATGATTTAATATCCTCGTTGTTAATATGACTTCTATAATTAAAATACTAATTTGGCCCGCAATACACAATCCAACTGAAATGCAACCACATTCAAAACAACCAAATTATTCACTTAGGTTCTGTGCTCTCTACGGTATAGTAACCCGATCCGCGGAATTTACAAAGTTTAATGCTGAAAGGCGGACGGACCTGTCTATATCAAGTAATTACAGTCGGGGATTCCCTGCCTTACAAACATCCGACTAAAATAATAACAGCTCCTACATTTGTAAAGTGTAGAAACCGGTAAGATTTCGATTTGAAAACGATATACAGTCAAAACACAAATGGGAGGACTGTTCTTTTGGGCGGGGGAATTTCTTTGCAGAAAAAAGTTTAACGGTTACATTTAATAACAAAAAACAAAAGGGTAATTCCCTAATTGTGGAATATTCGGTGCAACCAATTTGATGAAAAACGTTTCGAATTGAATATCTATCAATTTATTATCGGAAAAAAAATTCAGTAAGTTAAAGTTGAATTGGTAACCCATTTGACTAAGGTAGGTGATTATCACGTAGCGTTGACAAATAATAGTAATTTATGCATTATAATTCAAACAATTCTTCTAATAACATTTTATTTAAAAATGTAAATAAAGTCACTAACAACTTTCAAAAAGGGGTTAAACTGTATATATGTTAAGCAAATACTAAGAATGGGTTTACTGGATATACCTATGGGTATTTTTTGTTCTGGGGAACCCTAACGTTAAGCTGTCAAAATACAATTTAACTTCGTTTTAGTACCGTTTATTTACCGGTTATCGAGCGCAATTAAATGGGAGCAAATTACTGCATGACGTGGGATCTAAAACTGTATTTCTTTTAAAATTTCTCTCTGTCACTCTCCTAAGTTTCCTGTTGCTCACCTCTCCAATTTTATTTTGCAGAGGCCAGCAGCTGTATATGTGTTTTGTTTATTTTTGTATGATTTTATGAATGAAGTTTGGCGGCCTTTTCGACATACGTTGTTATCCGTAGTTGGCCTCGTGCCGGGCAATCAAATCAAAACAATTGAACACCACGTCGTATACTTATTATTATTTTAAGCGGCGTCTGCTTCATTATTATAGTTATTATATGGTTCTAAAATAACCTTACAATGCAAATTATTAACGATTTATTATCATTAATAAGGTTAAATCAACAACCTTAAATAAAAAAAATCAATCAGCTTTGTCACCCACCACCTTATTAAGCGAAAAAACGAGTTTTGTTTGTTTTTGAATATATCTAAACACATACCTTTATTTAATGAATTCAAAAATTGTGTTAAATTCTTGTTTTGGTTTTTGTTCTTCTTATCTTGCACTTTTCCTTACACAAGTGGTACATTTTCATGATAAATTTTCTGCAATATTCCCACAATTTTCACACAAATACTCTGTAAGAATGTATCTAGCTCAAAGTTCTTATGTTTAGGTCTGTGTGTGTCTTGCTTTCATTAATTTTATTATTTTTAAAGATTTTTTATTTGTTTTTGAATAAAAATGTGACTCAAAAACATTTATTCAAAGAACGCAACACATTTATGTAGCCTTCAAAAATCGATCTTGATTTCTTACAATTTCTTGTTGGTTGGGTAAACTTGCAGTTATTTTTTTGTGTTTGATATGATGTTGTATATGATAACTTATAATTTATTTGCTTATATGGATTGTTTGATCAACGAAAATATTCTTCAGCGATATATGCCATGTATATATATATATTTATATATAGGTGTGTATATGAGTTGTGAGTAAATGCGTATGCACCGTTAATAATAATCGTAATCAGTTAATCAGTTTAAATAATTTCACTTAATAGCTTCGTTTAACTCTATAAATTCAATTATAATGCACTTAACTTTGCGTGTGACTGTGTGTTGGAGTCTACCGTATTGCACAAATGTATCTGTGAAGGTTTGTCTAGTGTAAATGTCGGTGTGGTCGGAGAAGGCAGTCCCAGAGTTTCGCTCTCCTGATTTCCTCGTCCTGTACCGTAACACCCTGATGGCGATGCCTACGTATGTATGAGTGAGTGGAGTAGATGTGAGTGTGTGTGTGTGAGACCGTGTCCTGTTTTCAGGGATCGTTTGCACTCTATGTGGGGTCGCACATACTTACACATTGAGTTTGTTCTTCATATATATGTAAATACTTTTAAATATAATTTATAGAATTGTAAATATGTTGTAAATAATGTTTGCTTTTTGAGTTTTGTTTCATTACTTTGTTTTGTTTATTTCAACTCGCATTTACCGTTTTCTTGTACATTTTGCCATTATTTAAGAAATCTTTAATACCGTTTTGGTTGCTTATTGTGATTAAGTTTTGTGTAATCGGGTATGTCTGTGTCTAAAGTCTAACATATGAAGAGCATCGTCTATAGGGCTGTCCGGGTCTGAGATCGAAGCCCCTACGCCCCACAGATCGTGGGGTTTCGGTCCCTTCCGAGCGGTCTGATCCAATCTGCCCCATGTCACTCCGATATAGCCGTGTGTCAATGAGTTCGGTTGAGTGTTGTTCGGTTTCTTTTGTTCTTTATGGAGTCATAATACACATTTAGGAATTATTTTAATATTATTGTTGTACACAGATAAACAATATTAATTTCACTTATGGTTTAACTTTAATTTTATGCTTGCGATAGCCGATTTAACATTGCATCGTTTCTCTTTGCGGTTGTGTTTGTGTTTTCATAGTTTTGCTTCTAGTTTACTGTAACTTAAAATTTCGTGTTCTGCTGTTCTCAAAGTGTATCCTGGGACCTAAGGCGATGCTAAAGCCCCCTAGTCCGGCTCTGGAGTGCAAAAGAATGGTGACAATGTATCTTGAGCTAAGCTACATGTACGTGGGTTAGTTAGCCTCTACACTAAACTACACACTTTGGTTCAGATCGAAAACTATGTGGTGCTGAGTGCTACGAGCTGGTTTGCCTTAAGTTCGTCCGTCGGTCCTTGCCTTTTTAGGTCCTCCTTGTCTCTGGTTTGAAATTTCCCAAAAATTGGTGGTTCTGAAACCAACTGTTCGTTTGCTTTAATTTTTAACTTGATGTATCTTTAATAACGTTAAATGAAAACAATTACGCAAAAATTTGCACTAAAAATTGGCACTAACTTTTGGTTTTGTTCTTTTTACCCCTCCTTTGTTTTACTTTAACCACAATAATAACGCAAATAGTTTTAATCCATTTGTGAGTATTGCTTAAATATATATTTATCCAAAACACTTTCTAGGCATTTCAACTGGGTTCATAGCCATAATTCCCTTCTTTTATGACATTTGTCCTTTTTTATTATTGAAGCTCTAGTTATATGATTGCCTTGCAGTTTTCTTCAACTTGTAAATATGTTTAGTTAGTTTTTGCTTTTGTTTACTTTTAATTTTCCCAATTAATCGGTAATTTATTTAGGTGCGACTGGGTTGCCTTCCTTTCGCTTGTGTACGCAGACTGGCAACATAATCTCAGGGGCTAACGAAGTGCAACGCAAGTCTTGAACGCCTCAATGTTTCGCCTAAAAGTATGCAACGAAACCAATGGGGAATGAACTGCCGTCCAATTTAGCTTTGGTTCATCTGGGATCTTTGGCACCTTCTAGCAATAAAACTGCGAATACAGCCAAATTGAATATTATTTATGTGGAAATTATTACACACATCTATATGGTTCAGTATTGATTTGATTTGGTTTTGGTTTTCGTTAAATAAGCTCCTTTAAGTGCTTTGCCTTGAGCAAATGTGAACATTTAAATACTTTTGTGAGTAGCTGTCTGACGACTGTGAATCCATTGAAATTCGTATAATTCCTATGTGTTGTTCCCCGAAAAAAAGCAAAGAATTAACTTTGTGTTCTCGTTTGTGGCTGCTGTTGTGCTTTTGGCCAGTTAAAGTTGGTATCTATTGTTCGTCTGCTTCGCCTGCTACCTCATTGTTTTGGCACAAATTGTGTTCTCCTCCTCTACATTTTTAGACGTTGCTAGATTTACGTAACTTCTACAAACTCCGGGGCTTAATTAAAAGGTTTGCTTTGGTTTTGTCTTTACAATTTAATCTTATATTTAAAATATAAGTTGATCCCAATTGTTCAGTTTTATCAATTTTATGCTGCATATTCATTCCTTTCGTCTTCTCCAAAGATGAGAGTAAGAGAGAGTCCGAAATGCTAGGCAAATAGTTTGCCTCCTTTCATTATCCACATGCTGATTAACAAGGAAATGCAGTGATCTTCTTGGTTTTCGTTTCCCAGTTTTGGATTGAGATTGTTACACATATACAAACACACACATATACATAAACATATACATATGCTAATTTCATTGAAAACACCTTTGAATTTAAGTGTATCTATTCGGTTCGTCCGACCCGATTCCAATACCCAGGGTTACCTACCTATATTGTCTGAAGAAGCTATTAGACCCTGTTGCTGCTGTCTATATGTATACATGCATGTGTGTATGTTAGTGGTTAAGTTGTTGCTCTACGTAGGTTTATAAGATATTATGCTCGATAATTGGTTTTGCTTTGATTCGCTTTGTTATGCTGAGAAACCTTAGATGTTTCGTATATTTCTAGTGACAAGTGAACGTAGCTTCGTCCCTGTCTAGGTGTTCTATTAATTCTTCAATTGCTTTGATGAATTGGAATACACGTAGTTATATTTTCCGTTCTCTCTGTGTATGCGGCTCATACGCTATATTGCGATAATGTGGCAACCAATAAGTAAGTTACAGAATCGAATAACAGGATTGTTAGCATTCTCCAGCAGGATGAATCGGTGGAGCACTCTCCCGTAAATCGCAAGGCGTCCTCTCTCTGATTCTATCATGTCTTTTCCAAATTTCTAGAGTTTCCTTAACAATTCTAACACCAATATTTAGTTAGTTAAATACACATATATTTGTTCATTACTTAGACCCGATCTCCCATTTCAATCTCCCTACCTCCGCGACCAATTTCAAACTCTGCTCGTATAATTTCTTGTCTTTTTCTGGATATTAAATAAGAATATCTAAAATACCTTAATGTTAAGTTTCATTTTTCTTTATATTTGTATATAAATATGTTTTTTTTTGGATTGGTTTTCCTTTATACTGTTTTTTATACTCTTTTCCTACAGTTGCGTTTTCTTTAACAATGACCTTGCATCCATCCAACGATCCATCATTCATTCGACCGATCAAGTGCCTTAAATGCTTTTACGTTTGTTGCTTATTGTGTAGAGTTCTTCGACATGTATTGTAAAAATGTGAGCAAATACATTCAAGTGATTTGTAATTACACTGAGAGAAACATTAATATGTGTGTTTGGTTTGCTGTATATGTATATAATTTTAATAATGTGTTTGTTGTTTTGCTTGTGTTCTGGGTATCCACTTGTTCGGGCTAATTGTTGATATTCTCTTGGGTCTCAGTGTCGTAATCAACTACGTGTACTTGCAGCTAAGTTCGGTTGTCAACCGAATCCAAATCAATCTCGGATTCGAATTCGAATCGAAGTGTAACGGGCAACTGCGCACAGACTCGGATAGCTTTGAGCAATTGTGGGCCACCTCGTGTCGCTAAAAGGGATAAATTCTTATGCCGAAACGATAGCTCTGCTTTAGTTAAGCATATCGCACGATATCAGCGGGCTCTGCCACTTGGTCCGATCCGATCTGATCCGATCGATCAAGCACAGGAGCTCGTGGGAAGTGTCAAGAAGAGTAGGAGAAAGGAGTGGAAAACTCACATGCCATCCAGTTGAGTACTGAGTTTGCTGAGGGGGGGCAGGCAAGGCAGGCTAGAAGAAATTTGCTTGGTTTGGTTTTTAAGGCACCATTAAAATTGCTTTTCTTACACGTATTTTTCCTTTGCAAATTTACAAGTTATCAACAAAATGTCGTTAATAATTACATTAATTACACGCATATTTAGTAAAAATTGTTTGTGAAATCTTTTTGAGCTATTTCTCTTATACACACATACACATAAATTAATTATCCCTTTCATTATTTTTTTATTTTACAAATAATCCCAGTTAGCCACTGTTGACCCGTCTATCTCCATAGCCGCCTTCATCTTTTTTTAGTGTTTTTGTTTGTTATTTTTTTGTGTAACTTGCGCAAAAAATTTACTAAATATTTCAAATACATTTAAATACAAGTGTACATAATAATAAGTATATATTTAATTTATGTATATTTATATATAGATATATAATTTATTTATATATAGATATACGGTTTCTTGACTGATTTTCCATTTCTGTTTCTCAATATTTTCTTTTTCCTTCCGATCCGCCCTAAGTTGGGAACCGAAGTTCTTGATTTCAAAATGATTGCTTCAAATTGTTTGTCGTCAGCGAAATATATTTGTCACTAAAATCACGAAATAGTTTCGCCATATGATATCATTTATCCACCGCCTGCCTGATGCTCTATCCTCGAGAAGTTCATCGGTATTTTAACAAGAGGAGCTAACGTTTTTGGCTAGGCTTGTCTTATTGTGGTTTACAAGTTCATTTATTTATAGTATTAATCTTTATGCTATTAACAATTTCCTGTAATCAAGTTTTGTTGTTTCATAAGTTTGTCTTTTTTGTGTGAGCGGAAGATGTTAAATTATTAATGGCTGATGAAACTTAAAATCAATTTCGAGTGTTGAAAAGTGAATGTGTTTAGCGAATTCACTTTTGAATCCACCATTAATCAATTTTTCAAGTCAAAACGTTTACCGCGATAAGATGTGGGATAGTTATAAATCATAGATATTTATATAGATTTATGCATTGCGTTCTCTGGGATATGTTTGCCGTTATATGTATGCATTGTTTGGATTTATAATTTATTCATTCTGAATCTTGTGTTGGTTAATATAATAAGTTGTGGTTAGATTGGTTTTCGGTTGCTGTGGATATGTTTTTTGTTTTCTTTTATGCTTTGATAATTCTCTTACTAAATAATTAATATGTATAATAAAATTTGACACATTTTGCCATTTTGCAAACTGATGCTCTCGCTTTCACCTTCGGTTTTCGACATCGTTTAGCTCATATCCAGAGGCTTTATTGTAAATTAGTGTGTGTAAGTAACTAAACGTTTTAGTGTGACTTAAAGTAATTACCACACTTGTGTTTTTGTTGATTTTTTTGGTTTTAACTGCCCAGCCTATCAACTAAATTAGAATAAAATTAATTTAATTTTAACATTGAAAATCAGTTTATTTTTGATGTTCTCTTTTTTTGTGGTTGTTTTTTGTTTTGTTTTTTAGTTTTTTTTGCGTATAAATTTAACAGCTAATAAATTTAAATTATACTTTAATTTAAGCATAATTGTAATATAATATTTAAATCCATTTCTCGTTTTTTTCAACGCTTCAGAAAGTCTTTTAAATCGCCGCAAAAGTGCTTATAAATTATTATTGTAACTCGAATTGTTTTCGCTAATTTGTAAGTAGATTAAATGTGGTTTACCATTCAGCAGTAGGCATTTTAACTAGAAACCAAACAAAAGAAACTTCAACATTTTTGAAAAGATATTCAATTGGAAATCCCTTTGCTAGTTAAATTATCGTTTATCAAGGTTTGTTGCTGTCAACAAATTAAATCTAATTTTGAATAAATGAGTAATTTCATTAGAAGATAGAACGAAAGAAAGAGATATCTAGTAATTAGTCCATAATTGTTTATGTGTAGTTTACTTGTAATTAATAAACAGAATCAATTTTGCACATCAGTCTAAACATATTCAAAAATCACAAATACAATTTCGATAACAATTACCATAATAGAAATAATAAAATAAAAATTATCATATCAATATATCGCCGTGTCTATATATAATATATATTTATACATATAAACAAACAACTAACAAACGCAAACATCGATGCTAGATGCAATTTACTGTAAATATTTGCAATTTATGTTGTGTCTGTAATCATCTGTCTGTCTTTGCTTGCTTGGTTTGTTTGCTTGTCTGTTCAATGTCTCATTCATATCCTTTCTCTTTTTTTCTTTTTGTTTTGTTTTACTTGTGTTTGCTGTTTCTTTTTTGGTCATGCTCATGCACAAATAGTTGGCTTAGAATTAACTGCATTTTGAAATTTCTGCCGTTCTCGTATTTTTGTATGTTTACGTGGTTAATTGATTTTTATATTTTTTATTTTGTCTTCATTTTGACTAATCTTACAATTAATTGCTGTTCTGTTCTTACTTTAGGTGGCCACACGTGATCCGTTGGGCCCCTCGAAAACGGTTTAACATAAAAGTTCTTGTATTTGTTTGCCCTTGCATTTAAAACTTAATGAAAAATATCATAATTAATAAGAATCAATGAATAAATATAACGTGTATGTATGGTTCTCTTCGAGTCTGTCTATGAGTGTGTCTGGGGGTATGAGTGTAATGTATTCAATGTGTGATTGCTGATAGTGTCATATGGGTTCTGTTCTCCTTAAATTTCCGTTTTGTTATATTGCTTATGATTTAACATTTGACGTTTCATGTTTCTGCTGCTTCTCTGCCGGTGTCCTCCTCCGCTTCCAGTTGGTTGCTGTGGCTGTTGTATAGCTTGTGGTTAATTGTTGCATTTAGTGAATGGGAGTTTTAACAATTGCACTGGGCGCAATGTAGTGGTAACCGGGTATGGGCAGACCAGCAGTCTCCATTGATATTCTGAAAGGCGAAATGGAAAGGTGCATTAAAAGTTTGCCATTACAGTTTTTAAAACTTCTCCCACTTAACGGTAACTCGCTTTTCCCGACTAGGAATGATTATGCAGAACCTCTTTTGCGGTCTTTTTAGTATTCAGTTTTTCCTTTATTACAAACTCATGTATTTTCGATCATGTTATTATTGCATATAAATAGTTTTGCTTTGTTTCTTGCCGTTATTGCTGTTCCTTCTGTTGTTTTTGCTCTACAAGTAAATCCTTTTCTAGATGTTCGTCTATTTTTGTTAATGTCGAGAAGTATTATTATCCATTGTAAGAATTTTACTTTTTCATCTACTTTGTGTTAATGAGCCATAATAAGTATGTTCGCATATATGTATTTATGGGTATGTGGGTATGTATGTATATGTATAAGTTGGGGATATAATTTGGTTATAAAATCGTAAGCCCGCTTAGCTTAATGTGTTACATAGTGTGTCATTTATCTTAAAACTACTGGTAAATATAATAATTAGAAAATCATAAAGTTACTTTAAAGTAGCTACAATAATTTCAAGTACTTTAGGGTAGAGAAAATTAAATTTCCAAATACTTTTTAAACATTATTTTCGACCAATCAAAAGTTTTTGGTTAAAAATAATAACAAAAATTTACAATCGCATAATAAATACAAAAGGGATTGGGAAAACTGGTAAAAATAAAATTATTTAAACAATCAAAGACTTAAAGTCTAATACATGATAACGTTTACTACTTCATATTCATTCAAATTTTTCTCCTCCTATTAAACATATGCCTAGAATATGTTTCTCTAATTGCCTTTTCCTGGCGTTTCCATGATTTTTCTCTGTGTGTTCGTTTTTCTATTCAAATAGTTGGTTTTTGTACGCTCATTGCGTGGATTGCGTCAATTAGAGCGAATTGGTCCGTAGAGGTCGTTGATCCCCTTTGCTCAGAGCATGAATCTCATCGCTCCCCTTTTGGCTCGGGGGCTCAACGCATTGGAATTTCTTCTTTGTAAACTTCTTATAGAAGGTTCTTTTATTTCATATTCTGTCTGTTTCACTTTTCTCTGATGCTGCTTCTTCTGTTCTCGACAAATGGCTTTTGGGTCTTTATGCTTAATATATATATATAATCGTATATATAGGGAAAAAATACATTTAGTGCTTACAATCTAAAAGAGTACAATGGATTACAATATATTGGAGCGTGTTCTATGTTACAATGAATGGATTGGGAAAGATTGTTGGCTTTTTAGGATATATTTATGCTCGGTACCTGCTCTATATCGATATTCGGTATTCGACTACGATAAACGCGATCTAATCTAATCTAAAGCTTCAAAGAACGCTACTAGAGGATGCGCTAAAATTTGGCAAATTCTGTAATGTACGATACATTTTTATGTATGTACCCATGTATATATGTTAGTAGGCATTTATCAAAAGTTTGGGGTCCAAAATCTATAGCGCCCACTAGGGTCCTTGGTCACTTGGTCAAATTATCTCGATCGGGTCATGCTCAGATGACCCTGTCCTTATATATTCGATACACAATAATGTTTAGGTGCTTGATGTATGATTCTGATCGATTAATTAAATATCTAGCTGCCCTATACGGCCAATCTAAGTGTGACTGCTTATTGTTGTTGGTTAGTTTGTTTTTCAAAAACATTGATAAATATTGCATAGAGTTTGTCTATCAATTACTTGGATACTGTGATTCAACTAAATGTAAAAATTGTCTTGAAACTTCGAATACGAATCTGAATACAATATGAATACGATCGTAGCTTGTACGCATACCACATAAGTTTAAAGCGAATTTTATACAATTTTGTTTCTTGTTCAAGAATCTAAAGTCTAAAGCTTTCGCAACGCTATCATGGAAATCCTATAAAACTAAGCGACTATAACTCCACTGCTCTCCGGCTGATGCAGCTGCAGCCCTAATCCTAGTAGGGATTGAACTTGTTGCGCGGCTTCTCCGCCTCGCCGCCGGTCTCCGTCTGGTGCTGCCGGAACCTAGAGGTGGCATAGTGGCCCTTGGCCCGGTTCACGCCCGTTGTCTGCACCGGCGGTCCGCCCGGAGTGCCGCTTCCTCCATTGTTGCTGCCCAGCGTGGTTAGATTGAGCAGATCCAGGGCGCTCAGACTGGACAAGGCGCTCAGCGCTCCCGGCTTGGTCAGCAGCTGCAAGGCCGAGGCCAGGGGACTGGACAGAGCAGCGGCCGCTGCCGGATTCACGCCGACCGTTCCATTCGAGGCCTGGCTGCCATTGGCACTAGCATAGCCGGTGGCGGAGATGCTGCCATTGCTGCCACTGCCATTGGCCGTTGGGGTAGTGCCATTGGCGACACTGGTGGGGGCCACCGTCGGGGTGGCTCCGTTCGTTCCAGAAGGCGGAGCTGCTGCTCCGGCGACTGCAGCCACTGCAGCAGCAGCAGCAGCTCCGGGAGCGGCGGCAGCGGCTCCGTTCTGCTGGGCCTGGGCCTGTTCCAGGAGATTGGCCTTCTGCAGCTCAACACTGTGGATGAGGTTCGGTTAAGGTAGATAGAAAGAGAGAGAGAAAGAAAGGAACAAATTGGGATATTGTTGGTATTTGTTTCGGTTTCTTTTTTGCTTTCTGGCAGGTGGTAGGTATTTTCAAAACATTTGGATCTTTTTCGATTTTGTGGAATTGAGTTGGTTTTTATTTGATCTTTTATCGATTCTTTTCGTGTTTTGTTATGCAAAAGGTTAAGGAGGTTTTGTGTGGAGGAACGGTTCGGAGTTGACGGAGAGAGATATTAAGAAGAAGAGCTTTTTCAGCGATTTGGGGGGGTTTTGGTGGGAGAGCGGCGTTCAAATTTTGGATGGTAGGAGTAGAAAACTTTAGGTGAGCTGTTCTCTTTTAATGGGGAGGCATGGACCGAAAGAGTTTGTTTGATTTGGAGGATGAACAGGTGGTGGGATTCGGCTGGGTCGGTTTGTATTTTGGGCGGGGAGAGGGTTTGGATCGTTTTGGAGTTGAACTGCAGTTTGAAGTACCAATTGGATCAGGTCCAGTTTTTCTTTTCTTTTTGATAGTCATTTTCAGTTGTGTGAAAAGTGTGCGATGCGTAGATTAACTCGATGCTGGCCCCTTCATCCTCATAATCATCCGCCTCCTGCTCATCCTAGGATTCGGCCGGGGCCTGCTAAACTTTTATATTATACATGGTTGGTAAGACTAGATGCTAGGTTTATACAATTAGATATTTATAGTTTTCTATTAGCTAGAACAGTGGTTAGGCTAGCGTTCGTTGTGGACTAAGATCTAGGGGTGTGAGGGTGGAAAATTATACGATTTGTGGTGCTAGTTTTGGCTTTGCCGGGCTTACGACTTACAGGCTAGGACATGTGTATGGCTTAGGCTACGGATTCGTGTTAAACCCCTGACCCTCCCGCTTCACCTTCGCCCTTTGTCTTTCACCCTTCAACCTACCCACCTCCCCGGGCCACGTTCAGGTCTGGACATTTGAACGCACCGCCACTCCGCGAATGAGAGTTCACCTATAACCTACGACCGACGACCTCCTTATACCTTCTCTTTGTCAATTAGCAAGTCAATTCGACAAAATTGATATTAGACAACAACACACGCAACAAACGCTCACGCATACAGAGAGATAGCTGATAAAAGGGAGGACAAGATCGATGCACTCACCTCATATTGATTAAGTATTGGGCCAGGGCCACCGAGTCCGGATTGCCGCTGATGGTGATGGTGCGGTCGGTGTTGCCGCCCTCGCGCTCCTCACAATTGGAGATCCGAATCATGGCGCCGGAGATTTGGCGGATTTCGGCAATCTTGGTGCCGCCCTTGCCAATGATGCAGCCAATCAGGTCGTTTGAGACGGTCATCTCATGCTGCTGCTGCTGGGCTCGGTTCGCGGGATTCGCTGTACGCAGTTGCGACCCAGCCAGTGCAGCCAAGGCTGCTGGGGCAGAGCCTAGATTAGATTGGAAATCTGTCTGGCATCTGGCCGCAGAAGCGCTCAACTCACCTGTGTGGTTGATGCCCCCAGTGCTGGCCGGATTCATCCCAGCCAGACCCAAGGCAGCCAGACTGGCCAGAGGGTTCTTCGCCACCTGTTCGCAGAGCGGGAAAGAGGACAAAACGCATTAGGTTAGGATTTTACCATTTTCTTTGAGGTTCAGGGGCTTCGTGGGTTAAGGTGTGTGTGTATGTATACAGTTGGGTTAATTATCATATATTTATCTTAGGGGCGGGGTCTGTTTTTGGGGGCAGAGGGCAGGGAGAGATCACAAGATCACAACACAACGCGCGTCAACTTTCAGTAATAGGTAACGCAGATGGAACATAACAGAAGGAAAGAGGTTGGAACGGAAAAGGAAACAGGAACAGAAACGCAAAAGCATCAAACAAATAGTTACAAGAACAGAATGCAAAAGGCAAAAGCAAACGGGATACAAGATTTACTCCATCTTCAGCTCTTTTTACATACACCACCGAGTGGATAGTAATGCGGATTGTATAATTCTTTGTACATGAAGCCAGGGGCTCGGCAATGGTTGTGTGTGTAAGTATTTTTGTACAGTGTACGCTGATGTGTATGGATCTGAATTCTCCGCTGTCTTACATTTTTGTCGTGTTTTGTTTTGGATTATGTTTCTACACAATTTACAAGTTGGCTTTACAAAATATACAAGTACAGAGACAAATAGATGGATGGACAGAGGGAGAGAAAGAGAGAAAGTTGACACATTGAATAGATTTACAAAGGATACACCTAAGGGAAGTCTACGCTTGAGTGCTTCTCAAATAACCGACTTAGTCCAAACGGAATTAGAACTGCCTTAAAATATCTTTCATTTTTATACTTGAGTTTACTCCAAAAAGTATGCTAATGCTTTTGTAAATGATTTCATTTATATGTTTCCTAAGTCTGGTTTGGTTTGCCCTTACTTGGGGCAAAATTCAATGCGTTCTGAAGTTTTTTTATTTTCTTTTTTCACCAATAACACCTACAGCAAATAACATACACACACTGACAGGCACGCACACATGTGCATATAAACTAGGACTCGGAATGGGGGTGACTTTGGGGAGGAAAATGGGGGCTATGCACGCGCTTCATAAATTAATCAAATCAAATGCAACACTTGCAAATACGTTTCGAATAATTGCATCTGAATGCAGCTTAGGGAGAAGGGGAAATGGAGGCAGCGGATAGATTATTCACTAGAAAGGAGCGCACAAAAAAGAAATAGAGAAAATCTCAAATAAATCATACAATATTAAAATGCTTTGTGAGCTTTTATTTCTGTGTGCCTGTGTGAGTGGGAGAGATGCTTCTGTATGTGTGTGTGGATGGGGAATGCATATGAGTGTCTGTGTGTGAGCTTAGGAAACAAGAACTGAAATATTTATCAAAATGCAATACGAATTTCAAATGAAACAAATAAAACATGCGCTATGGAAATATTTTATGACCCAAAAATGAATTGCAACTCAATAAAAAGTTCTGTGACAGAGAGGGAGAGAGCGGGCGGGGCGGGAGAAACTATAATGGATTATCTAGGAAAAACTGTCACAAAAACTTGTGTGTTGGCATATTAACAAACACTTCTTGCCAAGCACACAACACAACGGCAAACACACAGATACATATAGAAAGAAAACAAGTTGAAACAATTTTCCAAAACTACGAAAAACTTTAATTTTAGAAAGGAAAGAGCAAGGGGACCATAAAGTGCATTATTTGATGACTTTTGGCTGGGATAAAGGGTTCGCTTTGGTCCTCGTATTCCAAGTCCCTTTGGTCTGATTTTTAGTGTGACTTCGACCGACGACTTTGTGGCGGCAACGACTTCAGGGACCTGGACTTGCACCACGAGTTGCAGTTGGCCCAATGCTAATGTCATTGAAATGCGGCCAACGGTTGCGCCGACAGGGGATCGTAAAAGAAATGCCAGAGGTAGTAAACTGGGTACACAAGCTACAAAAACCGGAACTTGGGGCTACTGAGGAAGTTACTATGGAGGGTAGAAATACAAAAGCAACACACGAGCACAGCTATCTACACTCAGAAAAAATTTGTTTATTTTTTGGCGATCAAACGGTTAATTTCACTGGACCAAGCTCTGGGTGAGCAAAATACCAAGCTTATGCTCAGAACGATTTTATCATTTTTTTATATATCTTACATTATTATTACTTATATTTTGTTTACTCTTTTGCTACAAATTTTTGTATTTTATTTTATTATGTTCAAATTTTACTTTCAAGAGAATAGCTGTGGAATCTTTAAGTATTAACTAACAACTTTAAGTTTATTTAAGGCAAGCAACACAAAAAACAGTGCACGTTTTATAAAGTTATTTAACAAAATCTAAAATAGTTTATTTTTATAATTCGTTTAAGGGAGTCGAATTTTTTAGTAATTAATTTTTTTTTGTTCGGAAAAAACCTTTTTGAGTTGAACCTTTTTTGAAAACTTCATAAATGTAATGTTTTTAAATTTAATAACGCTTGCAATCGCTTTTCATTTTGTTTTTTTTTATCACAAATTTACTTTTTGAACATAAATTAAATTAAATTATCTGTGATTAGAGCGAGTATAAACAATGTTGCTGTTTCTCAGAGTTATTGATTATAAGCTATGGTAAATTACCCACACCATGAAAATTAAGAATTAAGAAGTTTTTGTTTGATCCGAATTTTAAAGTTTATTCTGAGTGTGTTATCGTCTGGTGCTTGGGACTGCAGGCAGGTTTCAGGGGGCGGTACATTATCATGCTCTGCCTGGTGGAGTTGGATTCTCGGGTCATGTTGCGTTTGATTATAATGGTTAAACGAATACAATTTCTTTCAAGAGTCTGGTAGAGATTATTCGTGTTTTTGAACCGAATCGCATCGATAGCTAAAAACTCACATCGGGCATTTGCTGTAGGTGATGGTGGTGTGCTGGTATCGCTCCTTGTAAATGTGCCCCCTTTAACAAAGGATCCGCCAAGCCTGAGATACCAGCATGTAGACCGCCGGTAGCCAGAGCAAGTGGAAATACTGGACAGGTCTATGTTCGATTAATTGATTGATTGATCATTATGGTTGTGTATGTGTTTGGTGTGCGTGTGTGCAGTTACAATTTTGTTTTCGTGTATTTTTTTTTTTGATTCAAAATATGTGACCAAGGAAGAAAGAAAAGTAGAAGAACGAAAATTGTATACCACAAATAAATGTCTTTCAAAGCAAGTTAATTAAGATCTTAACTTTGTAGTTGCTATGGAGAGATGTAAGCTTATCAGATACATGTTTAAATATAGACGTATCGCTAGAGAAACTCTTGGATAAAGCTTTCGAGTCGTGTGTGCAAGTTTCTGGTGTCAAGGCGGGGATTATCAACGGGACTCTTTGCATCGTAGAACAAAGTATAAATGATATTGGGAGGATGGTATACTAAAAACAAATGATGGCATCTAAGAGGAGGGACAGAGAATGGGCTTTTACTTTGTTTGGGGCGGTTTCAGAGCGCAAGGGAACCACGGGTGTCAGGGTCATACGACATCATGAAGGACTCTAAGAATGTGGGACTAGTGCCGACAGATAAGCGCAGGAGGAGACACAGTTGTCGACATACTTCCTGGACTGATATGGCAAATCAAAGTCACATTGGGTACTCTTATGGCGGAATCACTCTATATATTATATATTTAACCGAAGCTCAAACTGTACCCATTGTGAACCAAATTGACAACTGTGGGGGTTTTACACACTACATGTTGCAATAGGCTAACGAATTGTAAACTAACACCGACAATAACCAGGACCAGGAGGAGAGAGTGAGAGAGAGAGCGATTTGTGGGAGAGAGACAGAGAGAGAGAGATCGCAAATGGATGGTACAACTAGTTTTGATTTATTAAATTCTTTTCTGGACATTAATTGAATTTGATGCGACAACAAAACTTTGTCTGTTTTAGTTTTGAGAAACTTTTATTTTTCGTTGGGGCAATGGCTGGCGAGGGGGGCTCTGAAGGTCGGAGAACTGAACTGAACTTTACTGTCCTGTGATGTACTGTACTTGTTCTGGACTGACTGTACTGTGGGCTGCGTTCAACTGGATCGAATAAAATTTGTTTGTTGTTTGTTTTTCTTTTGTTTTCAGTTTACTGTTGTTCTGTAGAGCACAAAATTCAATTTTGGTATGGGATTTTTTAACAGAGTTATAAACAATATTGATTGATGCGGAAAGAGTGGCGAAAAAGTATTAAGGGCTCAGGAGGGATGATATTGGAATAGTATGTGGTTGTTGCAGTTGCTAATTGCATTGTTGTGGAAACTTATGTAACTCTCGAAAATATGTTTGCAGCGAGCTTCGCAGTTTTGTTAATGTTGGTTATTTGGATTTATCTGTTGGTATAGAAAACTTAATTTCAATGATTGGCTGTACTACACAAAAATCAAGAGAGATAACAAAAGAACGCGGGACTTTGGCAAATATGTGTATATAATATATATACATATATATATAAATATATATAAGAATATATAGATGGGTTTCGAATACTTCAATTTTTGATACGAAACGATTAGTTAACTGGCGCTCAAAGAGGAGTTTTATATTTTGTGGTTCTTGTTGTGTGTTGAGGATTTCGATAAAAAGATTTTTACTTTTGGGCTGGATAGATATGGCGGAGATATGTTTGTAGATGGGTTTGGAGAGAGAGGTGGACTAGTGTAGTTTGAACATACTTCTTCACACACGGTGCCAGAGAGCCCTCTTCAGAACAGAACTTAGAGACATAGAGAGACTGAGCAGAGAGTGAAGAGAGAAAGTTCTAGCCCCCGCTCCCCGCGAGCCTTTCTTTCTTTCACACTAACTCACTCGCCTCGCCTCGCCACGCCTTGAACATTTTTCTCTGAGGTGGAACCCAACGATTCTCCCCTCAGGATGCTGCGGATTCGATTCTCGGAGATTCCCGGAGACTCTCGCAGTGAGACAGAGACAGATGCCGGGGAGACTGAGAGAGAGACCGATCGCGCACGCACTCTCCTCGCAGCCACACGCTCTTAACCTGAGAGAAGAGAGTGCAAAAGAAACTAAAAACAAAACAAAAATACATATTTAAAGTTTAATTTAAAAGTGTTTCGTTAATTAATATCGTCGATTCGATGGCTGTAAAGTTTGTTAACACATTAGTTCACTGATCAGGGTCACCACTTGGACTTGAAAATAGATGAATATCAATATGGGTACGACGATAGGGAGCGGTTATCGGTATCGGTATCGGAATCGGTTGTGGTAATCAGTACAGTAGATTGAGGGGTTCAAAAGGGTCAAAAACGGGTCACAAATCTTTGAAGGTTCTTGTCTGGGCATCTTTCAGGGGTCTCCAAGTAAGAAGTTTATGGAGAAAGAGGGGAAGGACTCGTGGACGGTGACGCAAATTATAATCGGGTTCTATAGAGACGAGCAGGTGGATCTGGGTTATCGGCGGAAACACAAGATAGAGAAATATAGACAGAGAAATAGAGTGACATGAACTAAAGAGATATTAAGAGGAAAACAAAAAGTAAAGACGCGCAATAACCAAAAAGATATTTGGAGTAGGTCTGGGCAAAATCAAATAGATACAAAATTGTTTAGCTGGACTTATGTGAGGTCGGTTAAGATAGAGACAGAGCGAGATATAGCTGCAGTGGCTGGCAATAGAGTACACAACACTGTTCACTGATCTTAACAACACGTTTAGCCTGGTTTTCTTAAAAAATCGTCCATTGCGATCACCTACATACCTCTTGTGTGGGCACTGCGTAGTTTCCTTGAATGGTGAAGGCCTGTCCATTGGCCAGGATTACGGGGCCAGTAACCTGCGGTTTTGGTCGGTACGGGATGGTAGCACCGCGTGGCGGGGACTGTTAACCAAAATAATAGTTAGTTAGTACATAAACTCTAACTGGCTAACATAGATGTTCAACACATGCAAGGCAAGTAACATAAATTTACCAATAAAAAACCTTTCGAAAATTAAAGTCATATTTCTAATAATTATTAAAGCTTAACATTGAATTTGTTCTTGTACCTTTTTTAAGGAATTTCGTTTGTTTATAAAATAGTTTAGTGTTTTTAGGTTGAAGCTGATTATCCTGTTAATATACAGCAGACTCACCTCCAACATGACAAGACATATCTGATAGATGCACTGGGTAATCTGCTCGGCACTGCCGCTCAAGGTAACCGCCCGCTCCGTCGAATTGGGCAGCATTTCACTGGCCACTTGGATAGAGCAGCCCGTGGTCTGGCGAATTTCTTTGATCTTGGAACCACTCTTGCCTGCACCGAGTGTGAATAAATAGCATTAGTATTTATGACTGTGGTCAACTACAACCCACTTACCAATTAACGATCCACATTGACTGGCGGGTACAATCAATCGAATAGGTATTTGAGTTTTGCCAACTTTGCCTACATCATTGAACTGCGAGCACCACTAAAACGGGTCAGAAGTTAGTAATGTGAAACGGAAATAATTGGGATTTGGGGACGTTAATTAGAGGGACTTGCTAGTTGTACCGCACACATACCTCTTCGAACTTCTTTGTAATAAGCGTAAATGCCGAAAAGATTGCATTAGTTGTACCAGACACAGTCACAATCCGTTCCGGGCATGAGCCATCCGAAATGTTGATTTTGGCACCAGACTGAGGATAAATCATAAAATTAACAAAATCCCTTTATGGAGTATAGGGCTTAGTAGGCTTACCTCTTCACGAAATCTGTTGACAATTTCACCCTTTTTACCAATAATACTACCAACTTCCTGCAAAGAGACAAAATTCAGAAAATGTGTTGAGCATAGTTGGAAAACATGTTGGAAAGTAACTTTTAAATGCTCTTAAGATGTATCTTGCCCAAGGCCATCAACTTCCACCCTCCGCCGTCTGCAGACATCGAAAACACTTTAAGCGAGTTTCGTTTTTTTGTCTGCCACTGTCAACGACGATGCTCAAATTTGATTAAATATTAAGTGATATTATGCCGGAGCATACACCAAAGAGAGGCATCGTGTGTGTAACTACTTTTGCATATTTAATTGCCACAGAAAGCAATTCACACGCGCCACACCCCCAATGCCCACAGTGGCAACCAGAAACCCAAACCAAGCCCGAAGCGAACACATTTCCCTTTCACAGTCACTCGCCTGTCGTCGCAGGGAACTGTCGCACGTAATGAAATTTGCGGCCAGAGCGTTTTACGCGTTTTAATTGATTGTAAATATCGGCGCTGCCACAGCCAGTAACTGGGTTTTTAACAAAAAACCATTGCGAAAAATTAAAACAGAGCGCAAACGGAGGAACTATAAAGTACGAAGAGGGAATGGCAAAGATGTCTCCTCCATTTGCCCAGCAATTGTTTTTCCTTATGCCCACCCTATGGGTATTTAATATAATATATCAATCAATTTTAATAACGGAACACTGTTAATTTATTCAACCACCTTAAAGGCGGACTAAAGTATATCTTTTGCAGAACTTTAAGACTCAACTCTGACTTTAGGGCATATTTGTTTATCAAACATTCTTTAAAGATAACCAACCAATTTACAAACTAATTTCTACTTAAAATGTTTGCTACCAACCCATTTAGATTTCTAACAATTTCTGTGGTCATGTTAAAATGTTGCCACTCGCAGCCATTCAATTTTCTGGCCATAAACCATAGAACAACCTTCACAAATCCAAAGTGCAGCAATCCATTGTGCCAGACTAAAAGAGCGCACCCAAACCCAACTAATATATCTTGGTGCGGGCAGCTTGCCAGACAAAATGCAAACTGGGCAAAACAATGTGCGAGGGAATCGCCCGTCCTCCCATCGGCCCCTGACATTACCCGAATTTTTATGCGCTGCTTGCATTCTGGCCACTCTTCGACAGAATATTTGTGCCCACGAGGGCGAAATGGATGCACACCCGTTTACTCGGTTGTGTGGATATTTATTGTACACAAATGTCAGAGCGAATTGGCATAATTATTGGCGTAATTATCGTTGAACGGCAGCGAACCCATCTCAGATGCGTTTTTACGCCTGTCTGCACTTATAGACGAATTTCTCGGCGGCCAGTATAATTTATAGGACAAGTTTGCTGTCACAGACTTGTGCAGATATAAATTGTAGCTGCGTAAATGGTATCTAAGTGTGGCGCGGCCTAGAGACTGGGCACTTTCGGTGTCCCCCATAACCATTCAGGTTGATGGCTGCTCATCAGCGCCTCGGCCTCATCATCATTAATAATGTGGCCAAAAGCCGCTCTGATATCCGTCCGGTTCCCTCGACCCGCCCGCTGCTTCCATTCAATTATCTCGTTGCTATTGCGAGCCAGTTCCGTTCAGAAGTTTGCGCAATTTGCATAAATCGGATCTGCCCGACATAGCTTGATCCCTCCAGCCTCCGGCCTCCTGCCTCCTTCGTCACCCACCGTTTTATTACAGTGAATAGAGCGGAATTCGGGACTTTCACTTGATTGCATTGATTTGGCCTTTGCCAACTTAACCCCACCAATCCCCTGCTGTTCTGCTCGCCGGCAATTAAATTCACAGCATTCCTCCACACAACTCCTGCAACAATGAACAATCGCATTTGCCATTTTCGCATTTTCCGATTTCCACATGCGTGCGATTTTCGTATGCAAAAAACACTTTGCGGTCCAGCTGGAAAATTTTCGACTGCCTTTTGTTGAATGTTTTGGGTTCGGTCCTCAGTGTGTTGGACTCAGCCCGTTTCGCATTGGATTGCTTGCATAAAATATGCATAGGAAAAGTTGACATGCAGGGAGCCGTTTCAGAATGCCAACATTCCATTCTGCGGTCAGGAAATAAGTTTTGATTGTTCGGTTGTTATTGATTTTGTTTTGTTTTTCACAAGAGCTTACTACGAATCTACTGACCTTTAGTAAAAATGAGCCTTGAAATAACAATGTAAAAATCCTTTAGATAGAAAGAAAAGGAACCTACACAAATCTATGAAGCTATTATTATTTAGATCAAAAATTGTACATGCTCGTATAAAAGTTAAAAGTTACTTAAGAACGTTCTTAAATTATTCCATCTAAAGTTGAGTTGTTCCAGGCTAGTTATTTGCCTGGTTGACCCCTTGTTGTATAACTATAAAATATAGATTAGCAAACTCTTCCTTAATTGACTGTGCATAAATGTTTATATTTTCCCACACCATATCAAGCCAAGCGCAAAATACGGCTAGTTCCATTTATCACTATAAGACGAAACACGGCCTGCCATGAAGATTATGGCAATAACAATGGCCATCGGAGAAAAAAACAAACAATAACTGAAAACACATTAAAGTTGAAGTCCAAAGAATAGACAGCGCTAATTGTGGGCCACAATAAAAGCAGCTAAAAGGTAGGTAGTAGGGGAAAATAAGGTTTTTTGATGTTAGTGGAGCAGACAGTAAATGCGGAGAAAAGAGTAAAGAAAACAATCGCGACTTTGGCTTTAGCTCAGACAACAACTCAAAAAAAAAGTTCGAGTAGCATGACATGTTTCATGTTTTTCCCCTTTTTTTGATCTTTGCGGATTTTGTTTTTAATGTGTGGTGGCGTTGGAAATTGTATAAAAATAAGTGAATTGCAGCAACAAGAAAACAGCAGCCACACTAACAACACCATCAGCAGCAAAAATCTCCGACAGCAATTGCAAAACCGTGAGAACCATTTATGGGAGCTGCTGCTGCCGCTGATCGCCAAAGAAAAATGCAAGAAAAACTGGCCACAAACGTTGGAAAATGCAATGTGACAAGGGGGCGGGGGTGCGCACATATGGCCTGCTGTGGCACACATGTGCCGCCCCTCCGCTACCTCATCCAATAAATCATGCAGTGCATTTGTCGCCCTGCGAAACTTTTTATATCGGATTTTTGGCCGTTGTGTTGTTGTTGTGCAAGCGAAACGAAAAAAATTTTACAATTAAATTATTTACAATTTGCCAGGACCAGATGCAGGACAGGGCCATGCCACGCAGCAAGTGGCATATTTTTAATTTGATTAAATAACGAAAACAACGCACGGACGAATGAGAAATGTCCCCTGCAGGCGAAGTGAAACTGAAATGCGCTCTGCAGGGCAAACCTGGCATGGAAATCTAAACCGTAATTTAAGTAATTGAATTGAAAAACATAAAACAACCAACTAATAAGCCATAGAACCGTCATCGAAATATCCATTCCTACCTTGAATTCATTACACAAGCTGCCCTAAAGTCTGACGCTCCGAAAAATAGTTAATTAAAATAAGACAAGTGCTTCTGAAATTTGGCAGACTGTGATGAAAATTCGCATAAAGGTGCCGTCGTCGGCGTCGTGCAATTTCACTAATTAAAAATGCATGATTCAAAAATAAGAACAACTGCAACAAATATTTCTGTCTACTGCCCTGACAATTCTAGGCGAGAGAGCAACCCACATTACGTTTTCTTTTCTATGCAATTTGCGGTTGGCTGCCAAGAAATAAAAAGGTGAAGAGAAAAACCTAAAACCCAACCGCCGGGCGCAAAACAAAAGAAAAAGGTGTTTTTTGCGCACTCTGTCGCTCGATTGCATGGCAAAGTTGTTTATTTTTTCCTCGCGTTTCTGTTTTCATTTTTCATAAATTAATTAACTGCATCACGACTTTGGACGCGACTGCAACTGTGCCTCTGACTCAGACCCCGGGTCGGAAAGCGACTTTCTGCATGAAACTAATAAGCCAAAGTTAATTAGAGACGCAGGAAAATACCAAAAAATACTTGCTTAACAATGGCAACTTTGGTTCTGGCGATGACCTTGTACCACTCCCCACCAGTTGTGTCGTTGACTGGATGGATTGGATACTATATATCTTTATCTACCTAAAATAATATTTTTCCATTAATAACTTATTGCAATTATGGTCTGGTTGTAGATTTATGGAATGATGATTCAAATTAATCATAATTAAGTTACTTTTACCTTTTATTAAATTCATTTTGCTTTTCACGTTTTTTTCAATTAACGTGGAAAATGTATTGCTACAGTAATTATTAAAATGTTAGCCATTCGTTGCCAATTTTCGTTTGCAAAGTCGGGATAAAATAATATTTTAAATATTAAGTGAATTATGAATATCATAACAAATTTGGTATTTTTGTTTTAATAGCTAGTTTTGTTTTTCCTTTAGGTAACAATGGTCGTCACTCTTTAAAGACAATTAAACAATATCGATATCGATACGGATGCCGAGATTTGTGCTTTATTCAATTTTCTGCCAACTCAGTTGACAGTAGTTGCCTGTTTATTTGCCGCTGTCGTTTTTTTCCCGCTTGCCACTTTGATTTGCATTGCGCTTCAAATTTATTCACATCTGCGCGGCTGTTGAAAAAATCGCATAAATCATGCTAATCTATAACTATCGATCAAAAGACCAACAACAAACGACAGCCTTAGCCTGTCGGCGCCGTACAAAAGTGTCTTGGGAATTTATTGCCCGAATCCTTGCGTTTACAAAAAAAAAAGAAAATCTCAGAAAATGTGCAGAATTTGCATTTACACAATATTTGTTCCTATACAGACGACTTTCTCGCCACTATATTGTGTAAAAGCCAAAAAGTGCGCAATTATTCAAGAGACTCGTGATCGGCGGAGGGATCCCGCACCAGGTAGGAATATCTCTGCTAGGAAGACACTTCCACAGCATTACCCCACTCCATTTTGGCTTAATTTTGCTTTCTTTGTCTATTTGCCTGCTATATCTGCCATAAATTGTCGCGTCTGAACATATTTCTGGCCTTTTTGCCAATTTTCAACTACACATCATGTAAGAATCCCCTTCCGCACACCTCGTTGCACTGGCTTGTCGTCTTATCTGCACCTGTCTCGGCCTTTCAATTGCTTTGGGTATAAAAATAATATTCAACAACGACCGAATTTATAATTATATCGATGCCTGGGCAAATCTGAAGCGGCAAGTCTGCGTTTTCTGTCGCCTAATGGGAGAATAAGGCTAAAAAGATAAATGACAGCTTTGCCAGCTCAACACGTTCTCGAGAGTCGGAGTTTTACCAGCCCTCCGTCTTCTGCCTAACATTTCTGAAGTGGCAAGCCTCATCGCATCGCATCTTAACTCAAAACCAAGAAACAACAACGACGCTGCGGATTTGCGTGACAGCCTTTTCTGGATTGTTGTTGGCGGGTAATGTGGTTGAATAATAGTTTTTAATGGTTGTTGACTGTTATTAAATAAATAAGCAGCTATTTAGTGTCGGGTTTTCTATCTCTTTGTTTAATGCCGCTTTTATCTTGACTACTTCGGCTGCTGTGAATCACTGCCTGAAATAAAGCGGCTGCATTTTAAAGGTAAACAATATCTTTGTTGGAATACCATGGCTATGGAAGCTGAAGTATTTGCTGCACCTTTTAAGGGAGGCTATTAAAATCAATATAATGATTTTAACGATTTAATGATATGAAAATCATAGCTACTCCAAATCTAAACATAATTATAATTTTACATGTGGGCAATATGGCTATACAAAAAAAAACAAGTTGCTGCATGTTGATAAACGACGATATAAAAAATAAAGAATGCAACAACTAGTATAGTTTTATTTTACTTTATTTTGAAAATTGCTCGCCTTAGGGTGTTTCTGCTGGGAAATTGCAATCAAAACATTTACCTGGATTTAAGCACAAACAATGAGCTCCCGAACCCGCTTCGTCGTTAATTTTGTCCATGCAAATATTTTAATACTAAATTGTTTATATGCAATCTTTTTGCGACTGGTTTAACCCGTTGTCCCACAGGCAGATGCTATGCGATGTAGTCCGTTAGTCCTACCTGTCAGTTGCTCCATGCACCATTTACATATATGTACTTTGTAGGTATGTACGACTTATGTTATTGTACGCAACGAAAACAATTTATAAATTGATGTATTTTATTTGTTTTGCTTTTTTATTACTCATATCTGGGAGCCGTAATGATTGTTTAATAGCTGTTGCCTTACTTCGTCTCATTTTTATGGCCCCGTATTTATATCTCTCCGTATTCATATACATACCTATATATCTGTCTACCCCGTCATTTCCCCTCACTGCACCATATCATTTACCTTAAACGCGATGGCATAATGCGTGACGTGGCGCGTATTTAATTTTAATTTGCATACAAAATGCACGCGTTAATTTGTAATTTTTTCATTAATGTTTGCTCTGGCCAGGCAGCTTTTTATTTGCCTCACATTCTGCGCAACTTTTTCCATCCTCTTTATTGATTTTTGTGCTATTGAAAAAAGGTCTATAAATATTTAAGATGTCAGAACTCAATGGTGTGCATAAAAGCGTTCATATTTTAATAGACATTTGTACCCAGTTTAAAGCGGGTGGAGTTGGAGAGCCCAATCGGGGGCCCACTTCTGCATTAAAGTGGCTCCAAAGGGATTGTTTTCTATTAAAATGGTCTATAATATTTTTTAAGAAGTTGTCAACTCCATGTCTCTGACACATATAAAACTTTCCTACAGACGGATACCTATTGTTAGCAGTCCAGAACAAGATACATTTGAGTTATATACTAATTTTAAATACTCAATGTCATAAATTACTTATACATTTCAATTCTTAATTTTGACACCATTAATATTTTGGTGGCGTTTTAAATTATTGAGACCCAACAGCAGGATACGACCAGCTTAAACCCAATTGAAAGTTTTATTACATTTAATTTACCTTAAGTTAAATTAAATTTACCATTTTTTCCAACTTACCTTTCCTTGCATAATCAGCCTTATTGTGAGTGTCACCGATGGATCCTCGTGTTTGATGGACGCACCGCCCGCACTGCTGCTCGTGTTATTGTCTTCCATGGTATCTATTTTGCTGCCTTTGTCTTCACTCGGTTTAGATGAAAATGTATCTGGATCTGACCGTATTCAGCGGTCTGTATCGCAGCAGTTGTTTTGTCTTTTTATGGGCTCACTTTCCGACTAAGTTATGGGTTTTGTAAATATAACTTTGATATGTGTCAATCATAAATGATCGATACATATACTATACATAAGAGATTTTGGCTACTTTGCTTGCGGTATTGTATGGTTTTCTAGATAAAAATTAAATTGGTGGTGTCTTTTGCTAGTCGTACTACGTTGTTGGCTTAAGCTCGCTGCGTTCTCTTTGCTGCTCGTATCTTCAGTGCTTTTATTGAAATGCTACAAATAATCACGGCTATTAAAATATTCTTGTATTTTTTGCCTTGTGAGTTTTCGTAAATTTATTGTTGAGCAAAAATACTGTTGCTTAGCTGATGCATTAGGAGATGTATGTTTATTGGGTGCCTAAGCTGTAAAGAGAAAGATGAAAATAAAATGGTTAGTTTGTCACACATAAATCATTTTAAAATTCATTTATAAAATTTAAATTTGACATTTCAACATTTATAATTTTTCACTCGGACCAATAAATCATGAAATTAGCCAAATTAGTTTTATGCACAAAGTGCCAGCAGTGCATTTAATCACATTCCCATGCAGAGTTCACGACTTCCGGCACTTTTGGCTGAACAACAACAATGAGGACGAGAGGGTCCCCAACCGGACTCGTTCATCATCCACATTTGTTGGCAGAGTTGGCCCCTGTCCTGGGCCTGTTTGTAATTTTGATATAAAATTCTTCTCTCTTATTTTTTGTGAATTTTTTGTTGAACCTGCGCCAAGTTTTCCGCATATTCCAAACGCTGTTACTCATATGTGTATGTACCCGTACATATATCTGTATATATAATATTGATGTACTTCTGCTGTTGTTGTTGGGGCATTTCTTACGCTTGAAATCACTTCATATGCAATTTAGTACAGATACTCGTCCACATTTTTCGCTGGCTCCGTCCCTGGCTCCTTCCCACAAATTCCCGGCATAGCTCGATGTACCCCCTGTACATATGCATATGTTCGGATATGTACTAATGCTGCCGGCAGCATCAGGCAGAAATCATTCCCTGGGGGTAGAAGAAATATTTGCGCAGCGACCAACGCGATGACTACCAAAAGCTTCCTGTCATTTCCCTCGGCTCCACACCCTCTTCCTCGCCCCTTGATGTCAGAGTTGTTTATGAAATTATGCGGACTAATTCCCCATGTAACGGTGGCCCAGCTCACCTAAACAGAAAAACCCAGATACTGAGAGAAGTACAATTCTGAAGCTTAGACTCTCCGCCAAAAATGCGCATAATTTGTGCGAGAATGCTGCACTTAACATTTGAAAGGATAACTGGTGGGGCAGTCGGAGGTTTTTGTCCTCCCATTTAGCAGCTCAGAAGAATAACCAGTGTATGTGGTGATTAATGTCAGGTCAACTACGATGACGAAAATGAATAGTCGACAAGTCGTTTTTCCAAAGAAAATTAGTTTCATAACATTTAAATATGTATTTTCCTTATCATAAAAAGAATTTTATATTTAAACTATGCGTAAATTAACTTTGGTGTATATAACTTGTTCCCTATATATTTGAGGTTAAAATCAAAAATGGAAAATTGCCAAGAGCTTTCGTTAGGAAGCATGTCCTTTAAATCAAACTGACTTGAACTTTTAATTATAGGACTTAAAATCTGAAAACCACTTAACCAGCCATCTGCCCGCATCAAAGATGAAAGTAAATTTGAATTTACCATTTTAGCTCCATCCAGTTTTACTCACGTGAATATCCCACTGCCTTACTGGGCTGGCAATATGTAAATTGGACGTGCAGGTATGACAATGGAGCCACCATTAGAAGCTCGTCACTGCCAGTATCGGAGTCGTTTCCCCTTCCATTTCAACCGCCGAACAAACCCATGTTAATATCTATTGCTCGGCACTGGGGAACGCCCGCAGCGATGTCTTAAGGTTGCCCACCAGGGAACACCGCAGTTGACGGTCGGGGCGGCGGAGGAGTTACCCAGCAGGAGCTGGCAGGACAACAATGACAGTTCTGGGCGCACACAATAGGGTACTTTCAAGGGATGGTCTGTAAAAGTGTCCGAGCCAAGTGCAATAAAATAATAAGTTCCGTTGCAGGAAATGTGCATTCTTTGCATTGCCCAGACAGGATGAGCCGAGAAAAATGAAGATGTCTCAACAGAGCTCCTTTCTTTCAGCTTCTCCTCCTCGTTTTCTTGACTCTCAACTCATTATCAATCATACGCACTGCCTGACAGACAACTCTGGCTTCGAATCCGACTTCTTTCCTACTTTTTAATGACTTTTTCTTGGTGCAGGAGCAGTACTAGCATAACTAGTTTTCTTTTAATTAACTCGACATATAAATGCCAATGTCTGTAATGGCAGCCAAACCAGTTTGCTTTCTAATTTTCTTTGGTTTTCCACACGCACACAACGAGGACGGCAGAGATGGTATGTGGCTGTGTGAAAAGATTTCTAATTTCCTGCACGACAAAAACAAAGGCACAAATCAGAAAAGAATGTGCTTACCCACCCATCCTTTGCTGTTCTTCTTTGCCAACTTCATCAAAGTTGGCAAATAGGAGTAACCCAGACATAACCTACGTTTTAAAACTCATTTACATACTAAACCATTTCAAACGGAAACTTTGGCAGAGCGGGTTTAATAAAAAGCGGGAACATAACTGGAAGATCTGTTCTAGGCACCATTCCGCAAGTTTTTCAATTCAATTTTGGGGTGCCCCAACAAAAAAAAAAGAAAACAAATACATAGGCACAATAAATGCTAAATGCTGAACGTGCCACACACATGCCTCAAAAGTGCTGTCATGTGCTCACCGATGAGTTGGAGAACTGGAGAAAGGGAGACGCCAATGGCAGAGAGACTTTGTTGACGGCGTTGACTTTATACGTCAATTTCATCGCCGTCGTGAGGAGTTTTGTTCCGTTTATGGGAGCCAAGGGAAAATGAGAGAAGGTGCTGTGGCAGGGGCTCTGAACAAACATCACCACCAGGCGGTGGAGGCTGGATCGGAGGCTTTCACCCCGCCTGTCTTTTCTAGTCACCAGCCTCGGCTCCCATGTCAAGTTGTCGTTGCCGACGTCGGCGTTGTTGTGGCAAAGTCAACCGCATCATCATCATCACCGGCGTCATCTGTCTTCAGCAACATTTTCGTTACACTGCTCACCTTGGCTGCTGGTCGTTGTTTTTCGCATCTTTTCGAAAAAGTATGGCGGAACATTCTATTCATTTGGAAGTGAATACTAGAAAACTAGAATATTCCCTAGTTTTGAGCTCACTTGTTAAGTACTATTTTTACAACAACAAAAATAGTCTAGCAGAAATCTAAAAAAAAGTTTGAGGTTAGAATGTTAAAGCTTTTATTCCTTTAGACGTGTCTCAAAGCCTTTAAAAAGCCCGTAAATCCGCCAACTCCTTTATATAAAATTAAATTTTAAAATTAATTATGCACATGTGCAGCTGTCCTAGCAAAGGGCTGGAGTTTTGGATGGGGCCGAGCGTATCTCTCTGAAGGTAGAGTAGCCCAGGGGCTGCGACAGCAAAGAGAAAACTCATTAAATTGCATAATTATGTGTACACACACGGCCTGGATCACATACGAAAACTTGTGTCGTCTCTTGTAATAATATTAATATTAATAATGTAAAATACTCAAACAAACTTTCCAGTTGAAACTGGTCAAGGGTTTTGGATCGCTCTACGTTCTTGGGCTTGAGTTCTGGGACTCTCGCTTTAGTCCCTTGTGTGCACTTAATAACATTTCGGTCATGATTCCCGCTCCTCGTCAGGTCGTCATAATTTGATTTACGATGCGGAGTATGCAACTCATAAACAGCACCAGTGAACTTTAAAAAGATTTCTCACTTCAAGGGTTTCCTCCGGAAAGTTCCCTGCTTTTCCTCGCCCTTATGGCCTACCTATTTCGTGCTGCCGCAAGTGTTGCAGAAATATTTAATTACCCGAAAACAGAGTTTAGCGGAAAATTATAGCATACTTATGTGGATTCGGCACGGGCATTCAGAAAGGGTGGAGCAAATGGCGTCTATCATAATAATTTGTGTCAAATAAGTAAAACGTAATTAAACGCACATGTCATCGCACGGCCAAATGGCCAATAACCGTGCAGAGAAATGGGCAGAACACTGGTGGAAAGTGGGCGGCGGCACACAGCATCCGTTGCCACTCAATCGATACACAAACAAAGGCCCCCGCTCAGCAATAACAACTATAACCATAACCAGAAAGCAAACGAATTGTCCGGGAATCCCTTAATATGATGACCTATTAAAATTACTCTATGCCATAACCACAGACCCCACACTCAAGGAAAAGCAATATTTTTCTATACATATTACGGCATTTCTGTATGTATTACATAGTTTTCTATTTTACCATGAGCAGGTTTCTCCTCCGTTTCTCTATTAATGGTAAAATGATATTCTCTGCTAGTCAGTCCGCTATGATAAAGCAATTATTGGCCATCAACGGGGAGCATACATTGGATCCAAAGCTAGCAATGAGGACGTGAGTCGTGAGTGGGTTTTGGCTTTGATTGTCACGTGGCTGTCACTTCCACTCACGGAAATCCCCCAATTTAATTTCCAATTACTTTGGCTTATGACCGGCCCTTTTGCAATCTGGAGCCTAAGCTTTTCCCTTTGTTGGGTAAAGGATTTGCATATTTTGGAGTAACAGCTCCCCACGTCATTCAATTTTAATGACTAAAACTAAATGCTGGATTTATAAATAAAGCTGTGCGAGTAAATTATACATTTGTATATTAAAAGTGACCAAAATGCACCCAAAGTAGGAAACTCCTCAAAAGGTTTTCAGGGCGCTTGAATTTTGATTTTATAAGCTGGACTACAACAACAGGATCTGTCGTTATAAATACAAATGTATGCCTATTTGCGTGTAGCTAGACACATATTTGTGGCTGCTTTTTAGGAACTGCTTCTTAGTCTTCTGTTTTTGTTTTTGACCCGGTCATCAGTTTGGGACAGTCTAATTAAATGTCACTTCACATTGCCTGACATTTAAGTATCAAAATATTCCACATATGCGAGTGGCTTTGCTTCTGGCTATGTCATATATATTATCGTTTTGCCTTTCTCTTTTGACAAAGCACATGTCCACATCGTCGTCATCATCATCCACAAGAGGATGGATGATAAAGGATGCTGGCCAGAATAAAAAAGTAAAACATGTAAAACCTGTGCCAACATTTTTGTCACTCCTGTCATTGTTTGTTGCATTGTCTTTCTGTTGTCATCCTCCCCCTTTTTCCCTTCATGTGTGTGGTTGTGACATAATCCTTAATCCTTCTACTTTATTGTGCATTTACATTTCCATTCCGCAGTCGGTCCAAATCATTTCGAG